ATAATCCAATTAATATTAATATAACAGTAGCCCAGAAATATTAAAACATAACCTGAAACACGTTGTTACTCAGACAACTGACCATTTCAGCATGGGGTCCTTGCCTACATTAATTTCAGGTGCAGCCTAAAAATCCATTGCTAACTCAAGTACATGCGTCACTTTATTAATCAGCGACAAGGCTAAAAACTATTTCTATTCTTCGTAAAGCGATAAATTCCAACTTGATCTTCATTAATTATTAATGCATACATGAGCAAATTCGATCGACCAAATAAATCAAAACACGAGAGAAATGTTCATAGTTCAAGGGAGGTAATATTACAATATAATACTGTGATAGGGTGTATTTTTAAAGAAACTTGGTTGTTTTATTTATTTGTTATCTTCTCTAAATACACCACTACTGTTTTTATAAACACCTAATTACATTAAACTGGCCTTATACTATTAACTAATTATTGCCCTCTCTTAGTCTCTTTAACTCAACTGATCTCACTGGACCTTGTCACCTTCTGTCATTGGCCAACTGAGTGAGTTTTTAGTGAGTTTCATCACCTGTCCAGTCAGTTACTTTTAAGAAGGAAGTATATTTCAACCTCCTTGAAATACTGAATACTTCTTCTTTATTCTTTTTCATCACCAGTTATTGTCTTCTAATAACTTTACAGGTTTAGTTATAGAGATAGTTATAAATATTTCAACAGCTTTATATAAAACCCCATCTTTGGGGTTTTATTATTAAAGTTATCAACTGAGTTATCAACTGTAGCCCGGCTACAATACTTCATTATTTCATTTGAGAAAACGTTCTGGATTCATTCTATTTATCTCAGCATCTAAAATTCTACTCAAACAAATTGAGAATATTTCCAATTGTTTCTAGGTATTAAATATTCTAAGGAATCCGTATTTTTGCCAATAACGCTTCCAGAACAGATGCGTATGGACAAAATTGAGCTCCATAATAACGAAATAGAATGACTTGGATAAGGTCAACAATGACGTCTAATTGTGACATTCTCGTCAAAATAGATGCATTTCTAACTGGTGGTGATTATTGAAATCTGCAGCATAGTTTGTTTGTGGTTAAAGTAATACATGTATGTTCAAGCCAAGCCGTTAGATTCATTCACACGCGCAGCTCTTGCCAACGGGTAATAACTGCACCAGGGAAATGCTAATAATTATCTTAGAAACGTATTTACATGTAATTCATTCATTTATTCAGGCAAAACAATTCAATTGTTATACCTAAACAGCTTACAAAAAATAACGAACATATATTTATATATATATATTCAGACATATAGGCCTAATTTATAAACAACCAAAAGATTATATATACTCAAATGAAAGACTCATTAGGTTTTATTATTGCAGATGAACCGTAATTAACATATTGTTTTTCTTAAAAGGACATAGACAGCCCAAAATAAAGCTCCATCAGCTAACAGAGAAATATCTCGACTATATCAGTGCAATTCAATTCAATACCTTAATTGGTAAGGTATTTCGTATACCATAATTGTTAACTATGAATAATCATTTATTTTCATGATATCCATTTATGCTTCCATGGATATATATATACTACGATCTTTCAAATCTTGTGAGTTTAGGATCGTGTGTTGGTCTAGACTGACGAACATTGGTTGTATTCTGAACATTATTAAACACGACAGAACATTGTTAATAACGATGTTATATTATTAAATAAATACAATCATTAAAAAACAATAATAAACTAGAGCCACACGTAGCACAGAGTGGGACTTTGCAAATGTAGCAAATTGCAAAAGACTCTGAAAAAATCAACCTTCTACGATAATTACATCACGCGCAAGAGCAGTCTAAAGTTGAGATGAATTCTTTGGAAGATTGTTATAACGGAAGTAGACAGACCTCACAAATGAAAGTATCAAAAGATAGCCAAGGTCAATGACATTTAACATTGAAAGGGAGAGGGTCAACAAAGGTCAAGGTTACGAGATACAAGTCATCAAAATTTTTAAATATATACGGCTATAAAACCGGAAGTTGAGATAGGACATCAAATATAAAAGTATAAATAGATAACCAATTTGAATGACCTTTGATCCTACAAAAATCAGGGTCAAAAAAGGTCAAGGTCAAAAATTGAAAATTTTGAATTTTCAAAACCTGTTCCTTTTTTTGAACTATAAAGCTGAAACAATCGAACTTCTAAGAAAACGTGGCTCAACGAATGAAGTAATTGTATGCAAAGTTCCATTTTGAACAAATGTATACGTTGCGAGTTAAGTCCCTTGTCAAAATTGTCAATAATGAGTAATTTAACCCGGATGTGCTACGCCCACCTCAATTTCTTTTGCATAGGTTAATTGATATTCTGAATGTTATGTAGTATCCCAAATTTAAAGCTTCTACATCATACAGGTCAAAAGATATAGATCAACAAGAGTCAATAAAGGTCAAAACAGAAAATGAAAATATGGAAATTTCAAAACCCGTTCCTTTTTTTGGAACTATAAAGCTGAAACAATTGACCTATTAACACAAACTGGCCAAAATAATGAGGTAATTGTGTGCAAAGTTCCTTTTTGAACAAATGTATCCTATGCGAGTTATGCCCCTTTCCCAAAATGTAAACAATTAGTAATTCAACCCGGATGTGCCACGCCCACCTCAACTTTTTGTCATAGGTTAATTCATATTCAAATTGTCTTGTTGTGTTCCAAGTTTCAATGTTCTACATAAAATAGGTCATAAGATATATACACACCAAGCTCAAAGAAACAGAAATATTGTAAAAAAATTCACGAATTTCAATTTTGCTTTAAAAAACGATTGTTATAATTCACTTGAAAGAGCATGAAAAGCACATTAAGAATCCGAAAAAATTAACCCTCTAGGTTAATTAGGTCACGTGCTAGAGCAGTCCAAAGTTGCCAATTTGGCTGTTTTCGGAAAGCTATAAAACCGGAAGTACATGTCGGAGGTCAAATGTCAAAGTATTAACTGATAGCTAAGGTCAATGACCTTTGACCTTATGAAGGTCAAGGTCATCAAAGTTCAAGATCACGAGATATGACCCTTCAAACTTTGAAAAAATTCAACCGGATGTTGCAAAAAAGCAAAATTGAGAATCGAAAAACGGCTTCCTAATGTCATGTTTTTTTTTTATCTTCTTTCATTTGACACCAAAATCATTTAAATCGGATGAGCCATTATGTCCGAATAAAAATCGAATCATTTCAGAAAAATCAAAATGGCGGCCAATGTTTCACTTCTGTTCCGGATTTTTTTTTCTTCGTTTTTTTTGTCATAACTTGGTCTACCTATCAGCATAAAATTTTTTGTCCTATACAAATTACACCGGAAGATATTCAACCGGAAGTGAACATCAATTTCCTGTTTAAACCGGAAGTGAAATTGAAAATTTGACTGTACCGTTTTGTTTACTTTCTTATACTGTCTTTGCTCAATTTTTTTCAGATTAATCAGACAAAAAGCAAAAAAAATGAAAAAAATGCAAAATTGGCAAAAAAAATGTCTGCGACAAATTTTCGAATTTTGAAATTTTGAAACGGGTATTCTTTCAGATCTTAACAGTAGATTCCAAAAATGCAAACCCAAAGAAAATCGACCGAAAAATACGACTTCTAGAGCCGATTATCTATTCTTGCACATACTGAACTGTGGCACTTCCGGTTTTGCAAAAAAGATCCAAAATATATTTATGCACATCGTCGCCTATATCTAAGGTTCGTGAACGTTGAAAGGTTGCTGCAACTATTGTAGTCTAACCTCAGGAAGGTGTGTAAAAATCGAAAAAAAAAAAAAAAAAAAAAAAAAAAAAAAAAAAAAGAATTGACATTTCGATAACAAACTGGGACTTTGCCGTAGCAAATAATAAACAAATCAATACAAAATCATAATATTAATATAAACACACTATAAATCATAAATACATTAAATATCAATTAAATTATTGTAAAAGAAATTCAGTTTCACGTCTTTCATTTTGGGTTCTAGTATAGCACAAACACAATATATGTCATATATACATCTGATATTATATACTTAGAAACTGTGGTTTATGCGGGGCATATTTCGTTTTATGACCTTTTCTGTGGGGCAGTGAAAATTTGTGGGGCATATAAAACACCCCGTATTTAAAAAAGGTATATTTGGATTTTAGACGCACCCACATGTCAAAAATGCTGTAGTGCATAATACGGGTTTTAAATCGAAATTTTATATGTTTGAAATCAGTTACCTCCCTTTGTCCAACCCTTGACTGAAAATGTGAAATCGAGGTTTCTCCCAGATACTGGATTATCGAGGCTACAATCTCGTGACGACGCTAGAAGTTACAAGTTACAGTTATAAGGTGAGCAAATTATTCCTAGGCTAGGTGAAGGTAACTATTTCAGTTTTATTTTTAAAGAAATGTCATAGTAATTTGATCAAACTGTAGGTGATCGAAAGCCGATAATTGTAGCAGTCGATTAGATCCATGAGAATTAGAATCCTGGGTACGTCAGCCATTTTGTTTGTCACAAGAAAAAGATATGGATATGCCTATTGGATTTATTGGTTTAATAGAAGAGGTTGAACATTCTCAAGTCTCAGCATTTTGTAGTGATTTCCATTTGGATGTTCTTGATACTGTTGAATTCGGTGGTTTTTTGTTCATTGCCTTTTTTGATTTATCTGAAATGCTGGATTGTTACATATTTTGCCGCATGAACGGATTTATTTGCCGCATGTTCATTGGTTGTTGAATAGATCTTCTTCAGCCTTACTTTGTGGATCAAATGGTAGGAATAATTTTAGTGTTTGATATTATTTATACACCACCTGATTACCTTCTTAACTTATGTTTTCAAAGTATTTAAGATTAAAATCTTGCATTCTAGCAAAAAAAAACAAAACAAAAGATAAATCGGAAATTCAAGTAGACCTAAAAAGAAATTCTGCTATTGTCTACTAGCCTAGTGCTACTTTGGCAGATTATGGCACTCTCAAAGGTTAGTTTTAATTTAATTTTATTGTTTTATTAAAACGTTCGGTTCTTTTTTAGGCTTTAGATCTAGTGTGTGTTTGACCAATAGATTTTGGTCATTTAATGCATACTGATAAGCCACTATTCTGTTAGATTGGAACACCTTCTGAAATTAAACCTCAAATTCTCATTCCCCTTCCCGAAAAAACTAAATTTGCAGAGGAATATATGCTCAATTAGTGAAACAAAAAACAAACTAGTATATTAAAGCTTCAAACAATCTGTTTTGTTTAGGAAATAGTTTGGGTTAAACTGGATGGTGGAGTGTGGTGGCCAGGCTATGTTACAGATGAAGAAATTAGATTTTGGGATGAAGAATACGTGTGAGTTTTTTTATTTTTGATGGGTTTTCTTGATTACTGTTTATCAGCTTTTAATAAGATTTTGAACTTGAAGAACTCTTTGGAAATGAAATGAAATGAGGTTTAACGTCCTACTTTTCTGCACCAACCGGGCTAATGAAGACGGGCATACGCCATGCAGTGTGCAATGAGGGAAATTTTGACTAGACAGCGGCTGTCGCCTACTTTTCTTTTTCAATATTTTTGGTCATTGATGTTGAAAATTTATTATTAATTGTTTTTTCTTAAATATTGTAATCTTTTCTTTGAATGCGATTCACAGTATGAACACTAAAATAGAAAAGACTGAACCTTTTTGCAATGAAGTTAATGAAAGGTTTACAAGGATCGGTAGAGGTAGTTTTATGTTCCTGATATTTTGTTTTTAGAAAGTTTTATTAAGCCAATCATTAACTAAAAAAAAACTTTGTTTTCAAATAAGCCAGAAAGGTATTTTTATGTTTCTTAATTTATTGGTTTATTTTTTTTTTTGTATATGGATTTTATGTTTTTGCATGCAGTTTTATTTCGATTTTTGTTCTTGAATTACATAGTGCAATTGCATAGCCAAATAGCTCAGAAAAATTGAAAAATATTTAGTATGAGTTATTGCCCTTGTTCTTGAAAACACGTTAAATTTTTACACTCTAGAAGGCACAATTCTTGATGGATTTTGACGAAACTTGGTGTGAGTGTTCGTAATGACCCAAGGATGAACACTATTGAAAATAAGAAAAGTCGAGAAATACTTAGTATGAGTTGTTGCCCTTGTTCTTGAAAACGCGTTCAATTTTTAGCTCGTAATCATTTTAGAAGGCACAATTATTGAGGAATTTTGATGAAACTTGGTGTGAGTGTTCGTAATCACACAAGGATGAACCCTATTGAAAAATATTTAGTATGAGTTATTGCCCTTGTTCTTGAAAACGCTTTCAAATTTAGCTCTTAAACACTAAAAGGCATGATTCTTGCTGGATTTTGACAAAACTTGGTTTTATTATTCGCTGAAGATTGAATATTTTCCTTCTAGAGTTTTCAGGAGCTAAAAATTGAACAGGTTTTCAAGAATAAGGGCAATAACTCATCCTCAATATTATTCAGTATCGCCCTAAAGAAATGTATGACTGAAGGTTGAATATTTCATACTGGTGATTGTTAATGTACTGCTAAATATTTTCATTCAAAATCAAAGCTGCTAGTGGGCGTATATTACCTTGCCCGGCAAGCTATCTTTGATGGGATGGTGTCCTCTGAAATTAGCTTGAACATAGAGCTCAGAAAGATCTTTCAGAAGTGCTTTGAATGAAGTGGAGCTGACGGCATCGGAAGTGTAGTGTCTTCATTTCTCCAAACTTTAAAATGCATTTACCAACAAACAGTTCAACTCAGAAAAAAAATCTATCCATTAGTGCGCTGGAAAGCTCAGAAAGAGAGCACGATCATACAGTAAATATTTACTTTAGAGGACACAATCCCTTTAAGGACACAGGTGCTCCAAACACTGACTCATATCCGATATAGATTTTTGTAAATGTTTTGTTTTCAAATTGCCATCATCACATCAGCATGTTTTCATTTTCTCTAACTTTTATATGTGAATATTGTTTTATGAACAAATTTTTGGTAATATCATTTAATGTATTGATTAAGATGATAGTTTGTTTATTGAATGAAGCCTGTGATATGGAATAATCATGGTTTCTTGATTCTTATGTTACAGAGAAACTGAAAAGAAAAAAATGTTTGTTAAAGAAGTTTGAAACAGATCTTTCAAAAGCATTATTAGAATATAGTGATACAAGAATCATAGAGGATAAAAGTTTTCCCGGCATTAAAAAGGAAGATGTTAATCCAGGTTGTAGTTCTATACAAAATGATATTTCTATTACAAGCCATTTAGAGGATAACATTGGAGATGATGATAATATGAAGGATGACATTGAAGATGATGTTTGTAAGAAGGATAATACTGAAGATGATGATTGTATTTGTATAAAGGATAACATTAAAGATGATGATTGTATAAAGGATAACATTGAAGATGATGATTGTAAGAAGGATAACATTGAAGATGATGATTGTAAGAAGGATAACATTGAAGATGATGATTGTAAGAAGGATAACATTGAAGATGATTGTATAAAGGATAACATTGAAGATGATGATTGTATAAAGGATAACATTGATGATGATTGTAAGAAGGATAACATTGAAGATGATGATTGTAAGAAGGATAACATTGATGATGATGATTGTATGAAGGATAACATTGAAGATGATGATTGTATAAAGGATAACATTGAAGATGATTGTATAAAGGATAACATTGAAGATGATGATTGTATAAAGGATAACATTGAAGATGATGATTGTAAGAAGGATAACATTGAAGATGATGATTGTAAGAAGGATAACATTGATGATGATTGTAAGAAGGATAACATTGAAGATGATGAGTGTATAAAGGATAACATTGAAGATGATGATTGTATGGATAGTGACTTTGTTGATGATGATATGGATAGTGACTACGTTCCACCTTCATACTCCAGTGATGAAAGTGAGATTATACCTCTTATAACAGGTGATTATGCATTTGATGAATTGCATTTAGCATCAAAGTCATCTGTATTCCATAGAATTATTTAGGAAAATTGCATACCTTATTTTAACCTTTATTTTTGTCACTTCTTATTTTTTATCAGTTTATTTATGAGAATTTTCTCAGAATTTTGTTCTGAATTATCCTTATAAACTTCACTTAAATTTGTCCAAATGTGATTATATATACTTATGATCATTTTTTTTTCTAGGAGATAATGCCGATGCAGGTAGTGGTATATTACAAGTCAAAAGCACAGATAAAGAAACTGATGCTTCCACAGATGGTGAGTTTTATGTTCAGTATCAAAACTTTCTTTTAGGTATAAATATGAATCTCTTTGAAGGGTGTATTGTTTATTGTAAATTGGTGTATATTGCGGTGGATGCCACCTCTGGTCTGATTTTATGTTGTTAATGTTAATTACCTATTCTTTCAGTTGCAGATTTGAAAAGTCCGAATAATCACAGTGATGAGATGTACAAACATAATAAAAGACACCTCTATAAGGATAGTAAGTAGGATAAATTGACCATGTATGCTTATTGTTGACTGTACTCGTCAGAAGTCAAGGATTTCATGCTCTATATTTTCAATGTCTTGGGTATTTACAGTTGGGGGACCTATCTTTAATTCCAGCTTAACGTACTGCCGATTCCATATGCTATGCTTATCTATGCAAAGTTTTGAATCAATAAAAAATATTTTCAGTAACTGTTTCTGGCTATGAAAGGTTAAATGGAAAAAGAAACTATTCTAAACCAGATTTTTGTCTGTTCTGCAAGAACGAGTATAAGTCAAAAATATCTAAACACCTGGTTGCAGTGCATGGGGATGAGGCCAGGATAAAAGAGGTTATTGATGAACCAATCCACTCAATGAACAGAAAACTGATTTTATTGAAGCTGCAAAATGAAGGAAACTATCAACACAATGTGGAGGTATGGTCACAAATATGTATTTTTTTTCCATTTCTACATCATAATGTTAAGTTATATGTCAAGTAGAAATGAAATCTCAAATATTTTTCACTTTTTTCTCATTAGGATACTTAAAGCTACAGATTCACCACTCCAAAATGTAGAATTTTTTTAGGCTGACAACTTGAGAATGAATATTAAACAGAAGCATTTGCACATCACTGTGCTGATTATTCTTATTTATGGCTATAAATATAACTAGTACTGATGTTTGTCCTGAAGCCTGGTACTTAGAACGACAACTCATTAACGTTCTTTCTCTTTAGGTCAAGGTTATGAGATTTGAACTAAATAGGTTGATTTTACCTTCACATTTATCTTTTTTTTTATCATTTTGATATTCTATTTTGAAGGTACTCAAGAAGGGTAAAGGGACTTTGATTGTCAAGAGGAGACCCGATGCCAAGAATAGCAATAATGCTATTGACTATGTTCCTTGTGAATTTTGCCTGGCATTCATTAAGGATGATTCTTTATGGATACATTCTAAATCCTGCCCCTTTAAACCAGAAAATAGTAATAGAAACTTTTTAAGAAATGGTAGAATAATGCTTCAAAGTGTTTTACACTCTCCAGAAACAGATGGCAAACTAGTTGATTTATTTTCCAAATTTAAAGAAACGGCTAAGAATCCAGGGTTAAAAGAGATATGTAAAAACGACGAATTAATCCGTGTTTTTGCATCTAATTTATTGGACAGACTGGGAACAGAGGAAGAGCAACGGAGAAAGGATAAAGATAATATTAGAACCAAAGTACGAAGTGTAGGGAGGCTTCTGAGGAAGCTTAATGAGAAGAAATTTCGTGATCTACCATTGAATTCCTATATTTGTGGAAGGGAATTTTCAACAGTTGTCAACACGGTTAAAGAGTTGTCCATTGAATGTAACTCTCCAAATTTAGCTCTCACTTTAGGGCATTACCTAAAACAGATTTGTTTATTAAAAATAAGTCTTAGTATTGAGAAAGGTGATGACCCTTCACTGAAACAGGAAGCATCTGACTTCCAACAACTTTATAATGCTCATTGGAACTGTAGAGTATCAGCTGTTGTACTAAGGCGTCTACGCTTGAGACAAATTAATAAAAAAATTGAACTTCCATCTACTGAAGATTTGGTTACTTTAAAGTCATTTTTGACGACTGAACTAAATAGAGGTTTACCTTTCAAACCTTTAATAGAAGAATGGGTAAAGTATGCTGAAACGTTGATAACACGTTTGGTATTATTCAATAAAAGAAGAATATCTGAGGTGGAGGAGTTAACCATGGTTGATTTTGAGAAAAGGTTACGTGGAGAGAGTGCCAATGAAGAGCTCTCAAGATTGGATACAGCAGAAAAAATTCTTGCAAAGAGGTAAAAATCACGCTTTAATCATTTATATTTTACTCCTTATCAGGTCAGATTGTTTTTAATAACTGTACTTTTACACACCACCTATCTAAATGACTGTAGTTTGATAATTATAAAAAAAATATCATTGAAAAAAGTCCTTGGATCTCATCATTGCCATCTTTAAAAATAAAGAAGATATCAATTAAATAATTTTCTTTGAGATGGATAATCAAACTCAAATTGCTAATTATATTTTTAAAGTTTTGAATTCCATATTGTTTTAGTTATAACAGTGATTATTTAAATGATTTTATCTGGATGAATTTTAGTTGGAGATAATACTTTGTCATTTCAGAATGGACTTAATAGAGGTCCGGGGGAAAAGTACCAGGGGCCTCAGAAAAGTGTTTGTTCTACTGGAACAAGATATGGTCCGTGGCATTGAGTCATTAATTACTTCAAGGCTTCATGTTGGTATAAATCCCTCAAACAAATATATTTTTGGTAGATCAAGTCTTGGGCCTTTGGATGGATGTAATGCCATGCGAAACACTGTGAATATGTGTCCAGGATTGAAAAAGCCTGACAGTATTCGGTCCACAATGTTAAGACGCTATTTAGCAACAGTTTCACAGGTATGAAAATCATTCTATAATAATTGTTATGCCATGACATCTCTATATGGATTTATATTGCTTACTTAGTATGCTTGATTCTATTGGTTTCTTGTTAATGCTGTAGAAATATCAATTTTATTGTTTTTGGTCAATTTTTGGATTTACCATTAGTTACACATGACCAAACTATAACCAAGTAGAAACCTTTTTTCAATTTAAATTTGATTGTTTCTTTGAATGTTTCAGATCCTTGATATGACAGGTGACGAGTTAAAAATGGTTGCTGACCACATGGGGCATTCAATTGCAATACACACTAACATATATCGAACTATGACCTCGACCTTAGAGAGAACGAAGGTGGCTAGAGCCTTAATAGCACTAGAAAATGGTACTCTTCAAAAATTTCAAGGAAGAAATCTCAGTTCAATTGATGTTGAAGGTATGGGAATAATTTTTTTGGTGTTATAATTATGAACAAAGTAGCATGTGTTCAGTCTTATGGATTGGCATGAAGAGCATTACAAAGAATGTGTTTTAATATTTCATTATCTGATTTGATAGAAATCGTCATTTTGGAAATTAAATTGCTTCAGTTGAGACCTGAAATATTGTTTCCTCTTCCTCATATAATTCTTTCTCTGTAAAATTCTCTCTAGGTAATTCCAATTGCTAGTATTCATTAATATTTGTTTTATAACTGCTCTTTTTCTATTTTACTGTAGAAATCCCATTGGCATTAGATGTTGAAAAAGATGATGGACTTGTAAATGAAAATTCCACTATAAAGGAGATGATGGTAAGCAGATATTTTTTTTTATTGCATGCACACTCTTAGGCAGACAAGTTTTGGCAACTTTTGTAAGATCTTTCTGTTTTTTTCTATATCAGTTTCCAGAGATGCTTACTAGGTAGGTTATGCTCACCTTTTCTAAAATTTTTATGTCACTCGCAACCTCTAAACTACTCATAGTTGGTAGATGTGTTAATTATGTAAGGATTTTCATGTTCTTTGTCCACTGTTAAAATATTGAATTATCATAATCTGCAGGTGTTTTAGAAAATGAAATTCAGGAAATGAATAAAGAAAGTTCTGATATGGATATGGAGATTGATCAATCTGATGAAGATGTGGAAGTAACAAGTACATCATCAGTAAAAGGTTTGATTCAGTGATTTTTGGATTACTATTCGACCTCTAACTTAATACTCATGTAAACCCATATTGTTGTTTTGTTTGATATTAATCAAAGTAGTGTCTTTTAGATGGCATGAATTGATTGTGGCTGATGTGAGTTTAATATCAAAATCAGATATTCATGAGATATCCATTTGAAGAGTTTCTTTCATCACTTTCTTAGGACAATTTACCCTATAAATTAAATTTCGAAGGCAACCTCGCGGCTTGAGCATTTAGGATTGAGTTGAATTTTTATTTTTCATTTTAAAAGGCCAAAGTTCTATTGATTAATTGACACCACTAAACATTTTCTTGCATTTCATTTTATCATTTCAGTTAACTTGAAGAAAAAAAAGAAAAAACCGTGGACAGAAGAACAGAATCTTGTGCTAAAGGAGAATTTTTCTTCTTATCTTAAACATGAAAACATTGCAGTACGTAATGAGGACATCAGAAATATGTTAGCCAAATTTAAGTGTTTGAATGGACGCACACTTCCGCAGATCAGATCCAAATTGAATAATATGAAACTTGGCAAATGTAAATGATAACTTTTCATGTTAACGGGTTTATTGCCTTTTGATAGAGAGTGCATAAGGAAGCCTTTTAGACTGGAAATTAAGTTTTGTAGTGAAAATTTAATATATACTATTTCTGGCTTGAAATTTAACATTTTGTTCATACACATGTTGTAATGGTATCTGTTTCCTTCAAGTGTTAAAAAAGATAAAAAAATCATGTTATTGTTATTTGTTACCCTCTTCCACCATGCATAGATGTCCAGCTGTTTTGTTGAAATTGTCACAAGCAAGATGAAATAAGACCAAAATTTGGCATTAACAATTGTGGTAATGGTACATTCTTGAGATCAAAGGGCAAAGCATTTGCGATTGAGATTGCAAGTTGAAATCAATGTGAAAGTAAATATTATTGTATAGCAATTGGAGGTGACTACAGGCTCTGTATACAGCCTAGCCTCTTCACTACCCAAAGCCTACAATAGATTAAGATTCTCCACTAGCTTTGGTTGACGATATGGACTCTGAAAGGTTTGGCAAACGCAGTTGCAGATTGGCATTTGATGCTCAGCCCAGCAATGTCCAAAATGGTGCAAGATACCAATGTTATTATTTGTTAGTCTTACAAGGCAACCCCCTCCCACGTGTTCGTTTGCAAAAAGAAAGAATACAGAGGGACATTAACTTCATTAATTACCTCATGCGTGGGATAGATAGTAACATGACTGGTAGATAAAAATTGATCTCCTAATCTTCTTGCTGGGCTGTGAAGGGAGAGTATTATCCCATTGTGGTCAAAGGGGGGTAATATTAAGCCATTGTGGTCTTCTTTATTTAAGATAAGAGGATATCACAGATTATTCTTGATATTGTTGTGGGGTATATATTTTTGGGGGGGGATAAGCTTATGCGATATACAGGCATATAATTTATATATATATATAGCCTTTACTCTTTTAAGGGTCATATACGATAATATATCCCACATACTCTTTTAAGGGTCATATACGATAATATAGCCCACATACTCTTTTAAGGGTCATATACGATAAGATAGCCCACAAACAATATTGTGGGGTATATTATCTTATAGGTCCCTTAAAAGAATAAGGGTTATATATATATATAAATTATATGCCCCTTAGAAATGAAACCCCACATGACAGGTCAAAAATCAAGGCCCCGTATAAGGTGCAATTTCAGTATAATATTAATAAAATAGCATTACAGACGTTGTATAAGTCAGAGTTACACTGAATAACAAGTTATCAAATAGTATTACAGACATAATCAAGTCATAACGAGTAACACAATAGTATTGTAGACATAATATAGGTCATATTAAAACATTAGTTTGGTAATATATTGGTAGAAGCAAATGGACTAATCATATGAGGAAGTATATCAAAATTAATGAGTATATTTCATGATGAAAAGTGGTATCAGGTGTCTAGAAGAGTAAGCATACCCTGCCTGGCGCCACACCCGCCTTTGCTGCTTAATATTACACAAACAATGAATGAAAAAACAAAATCGCTTAAATGTAAAATCAAAGACATAAAAAAGTCATAAATATAAAAGATAACAATTAATCAAATAGCATTATAGACATAAGTCATAAATACATTGAAAAACACGCAATCAAATAATATTACAGACATAATTTAGGTCATTGAAATACAAGTAATCAAATAGGTTTACAGATGCAAAATAAGTTATATTTCATAGTTACATTGGATAACAATTAACCAAATAGTGTTACAGATGTTATTTAAATCAATATACTCTCAATAACAAGTAATCAAATAGTATTATAGACATATTTGAATTCAATAACAAGTAATCAATAGTATTACAGACATAAAGTCATAAATACTATGGATAGCAAACAATCAAACAGTATCATGAACTTACTTTAAATCATAAATACATTGAATAACAAGTAATCAGGTGGTATAACTAAATATAAGTCAAAATAACATTGAATAACAAGTAATCAAATAATATTAAAGACATGATAAAAGTCATAAACACACTGAATAACAAGTAATCGTATAGTATGACAAATTCAAAATAAGTTATAAATACTTTGAAAAACAAGCAACCAAAAAGTAAATAGACATCAGTCATAAACACATTGAATACTTATTTACCAAATAGTATTGTTGACACGATAAAGGTCATATAGATTGGATAACATGCCATCAAAGAGTATAATAGATATAGTATAAAACATTTATATTTAGAACAAAGAATCTAAATAAATTAATTAGAAATGAATTTGTTGAAACATACTTCAAAATAAAAGTTTGGTAATACATCAATAGCAGAAATGAACTAATCATATGAAAACTTATATCAATGATAATATAATAATTTCATAATGAAAAGTGGTATCAGGTGTCTAGAAGAGTAAGCATACCCTGCCTGGCGCCACACCCGCCATTACTGCTGAGTAAAAAAACTCTGTGGTGGCAAGAAATCAATATATATTTAGAAATTTAATTTTATAATAGCAGAGAATAGGAAGCTCAAATGCTATTTCGATTACTTTCCTTATTGAAAAAAGATAACCAGATGTTATTATATTTTATATTACAAATATCAAAAGAAACATATTTCACGATAAACCTGCTGATATACAACAATATTATATTCAATATGCAGTCTCATAATATTCAATAATCACTATAAACAGTCTCATAATATTCAATAGTCAGACTCATAATATTCAATAGTCAGTCTCATAATATTCAATAGTCAGACTCATAATATTCAATAGTCAGACTCATAATATTCAATAGTCAGTCACATAATATTCAATAAGTCTCTGAGTGACACTGATTTTATTACAATTATGACTTTATACAGGGTCACAACTAGGGTTTTCTTCCAGATCTATCACAAACAACTTACCAAGAAAGCTAATCACTCTGTGCAATATATCCAGTAATGAAGGGTGGCCATTATATACAATATAATATGATTCTGGTAATTAAAATATCACAGGCTGGTCGTTTAGAACAAGTAAGACAAAGGAAACAAAAACTTTGTAAGATATGGATTGAAACTGATAATAAAATATATAATTGGTGATGAAATAGCATTAAATGCATAAGTAAGTGACAGGTTTATCTCCCAAAGACTCTTTATGGACTATATTGAGATCACAATATTACTATCACTCAAACAAATTACTGATAAATAGGGGAAGTAAAGAATCTCGCTGACGAATACACAACAAAATTCTCCAAGACAGATTCAGCCTTTACGGAAACTGTTGAGGATTGTCTTTCATAGACTTATTTCTTATATTATATCAATTTGATATCTATCACATTCTGATTTTGCAAATCATCTTAGTAGTTACATCTTTACATACATTACAAATTTAAAGATCATAGCCTATTAAAATCAAATTTGAAAAGTAGTGCTGTTTGTAACAATAACAATTAAATAACAGCATTAATTCCAAACATTAGAATACCTATGATCAGCCTGAGTATCAATTTTTTGACAGGCATTACAGTTAACACCATTGGTTGGCCCACAATAACCATCAGTAAAACGGTTATTTCTCATAACAAGTCTTCCACAATAATAATTACCAGTTACACCTTTTCTACATGCAGCTCCATCTCTGTTAACAAACCAATTGTTAGGTAACTTTCTGACATACACATCCAATTTCATACAAGATGAACAGTTGCAACCATTGGTTGGTCCACAGTTTCCATTGCAGCATGTACAGCGAGGACCATCAAGAGCCTTAGAGCAATAATATTTGCCGGTTTCACCAAGACGAGCATAGGCCTTTTTAAAATTAACTGTAGTCTTAATCCGATCAATTTCAACTTCAGCAGCTTCAAGAGGAGCTCCCTCAAAAAGTTGATCTACGTTTTTAAGGATTGTTGATGCATGTTCAGTTATCATGTGTTGGAGGAAGGCTTCTCGCACTCCCTGGAACTCACATCCCATAGCTGGACAGTGATAAGGTTTATTAATGCATGTCAACTCGTGACCTTTTTTTTCTGATCTTGGAACTACTGTCCCACAACCAAATGGACAAGTCATCTCCATTCCACCAATCAAACGTCTGGCTAAATGGGAAACTTCAAACTTATACTTGGGTTTACTAGCCCGACAGGTAGGGCATTCATCTTTATGTATACTTGTGATACAAGCATGACAGTAGATATTATGACAACAGGTAGTCTCCACTGCATCCTCTGCAAACTCTATACAAATTGGACAAACAAAATGATCCTCCATTTTCTCTGGGTTCACCCCAGATTGGTATGTTGATCCTCCTTGACCAATTTTGACTATCTGGAAAATAAATTGAAGAATCTTAAATATTAAGGATGAGTAAATGTCTGGTTTCTCTATAATTAATCTTCAAAAATGTTAAAACATGTCACCAAGGTATATGGAACATGCTTCAACGACCTAAGCAGACATAGAATCCCATCTGATATCGACAACTTAGTTAACTGGACTGATATTTGGCAGATGAGTTTTAACCAAGAAAAATGCAAATCTGTACACTTAAGACAATAACCCACATCAACAATACTTCTTCCCCAAATCCAACGGAATGCTCACTGAAATCAGGCAAGAAAATGCTGAAAAAGACCTTGGAGTAACATTCCAGGACAGCCTTAAATTTGACCAACACATAGCCAGAAAGTGTATGAAATCAAACAGAATGCTGAAAAAGAACTTTCACACTATTCGATAAAGAGACTTTCCTTCCACTCTACAAATCATTAATCAGACCAATCATGGAATATGAAGTCGCAGTTTGGCATCCTACCCTGAAGAAAGACATCAAACTAACAGAAAATGTACAAAGAAGAGCAACGAAGATCATCCCTACAATTAAACATCTACCATACCCTGAATGTTTAAAATACCTAGGCCTTCCAACATTAGAGTACAGAAGAAAACGAAACCATGTTATACAAGTATATAGAATTATAAATGGCATAGACAAAACAGTTGATAAATTCATTATGAAACCAGAACAAGAGCACATCAAAAAAAATTTGTTAAACCACAATGGAGAACAGATGTAAGAAAAAACTATTTTTCTGTACATGTCATCAATGATTGGAATTCCCTCCCAAGTTATGTAATCAACTCTTCAAGTCTTAACCAATTCAAATCTAATCTTAATACAGCTTGGAAGAACATCAATATCAAATTCAGACCCAGCTTTATGGAAATCTAATGAACTACTACTCAACAATATTATCAGACCATGTCATAAAAAATTATCGTTAACAATTTGTATGCGCACAAAAACAAGAAAGAACAGAAACAAAATTATTTATTTCTTAACTTCATTTTAGAAGTCTTATTAGAAATTCACTAATGTGGTCAAGAAGCTGTAGTGCTTACTATTAGACCGCGGAACAGGTATAACAATAAACAGCAGTAGCCATTGTTAAACAATTTGATGTAATACAATAAACTTTTGCATACCTTTCAATAAACTTTAGTGAAGCTTGAAAAGTCAAAATATTCCTAGGGATAAACCACGGCAAAAGTCAGACAGTAAGTAAAGCCCCATTTTAACTTGTGCTTCATGTCAGATTTACTTCCTCTCTTCTTACCAAAAATTTTGCTCTTCTTGGTAGAAGTTTGCCCTTCTTGGTATATCTTATCTAATATCTTGAAGAATACCAGTATTATACTAGCAAAAACCCTACTAAGAAAAGCCCTATTTGTACTTTCACTTTTAGTACTTTTACTTTCAGTTTAACTTCCTCTTCTCCTACGCAGAATTTTTTTTTCATTGGTATACCTTACTTAATATTATGTTCAAGGATATACTAGCAAGAAAAAAAACATGGAGTAGGCCCTATTTTCATTTTCACTCTATAGTTCATGTCATGTGAGTTATACTTCCTCATGTCATTCCCTACGCAGAAATTAAATTTGTTTTTCGTTGGTATATCTTCTTACCTAATATCTTACAACAGCAAAATAAATGTCAAGTTAAATAGCTCAATCCTTGTCTTTTCAAACTCACTTTATTTCATGTGACTATTTATCTTTGTTGAGTTGATTTAGGTCTACCTGATATCTTATCTGTATTGCATATTTCCTTTGACGATTGACGTTTTGTTTACACCGGAAAGAGAATTGGGTGTACCTTATCTTTCAAATGTAGTCAAACATACACAACATTGTTATTAAGGGTGATTTTCACATTTACGTTAAAAAGCCGAATGTCCCCCTTTAGAGTCCATTACAAAATATATCATTTATAATTACCTTAATTGTATACTTTTCGTTAACACTCAATTTTCATTCAATGTTCAGTTAGGGTGTGACTAAACAGCGGTATGCAATCTACTAGCCATGAAATTCTATTAGCCAACTATGATTATGCTACCAGCTCAAAAGAACGAAAGCAATTCTTTTCAACTGACCTAGAACATGTATATTTTATGAAATTGCAAATCAGGCGTTTAATTATACATCTCACTGAATTGGTGAATATTCAAGTTGGGTATAAAAACTTGGCGAAAAGTCAGCTTTTGAGGGTATGAGTATGTAACCCTGTTGGCCTAAGAACTCATCTTGCCCTGAACTTGTCAGCCCTGGGTACGCAAAGATGCCCTTGTTTTCTTAAAGAAAAATAGGTTTGAAATTCTAAAGTAAATATATAAGCTATTGATTTCCTTGTTAAGAGTCAAACTTATCTAAAGATATACCGGTACTGCAACTTGAATCAAACATGCATTGTAAAACGTTAAAATGTCATTGATAGCTTCCTGACCTTTTGAGGGGTTGTACAATGAAACAAATCTCGATTGTCTTTGGATTGGTGACCACAGGGTTAATTAGTGACACAGTGACAGATGTCCGAAAATATTAAATAAATAGCCGCAAATGATACAAAGATATTAGACAACTAAAATTTATTTTTAAAAGGAAGACCTAAGAGACAAGATAAGGTAAAGAGTAAGTTTGGTTTTTATTTATTTCATGGTTAAAGAAATGAATTGACTTGAAAAGTAGGCCTACACAGTGTTATATGATATTCATAATAACCATAAAAGTCTAGTAAAGAATGATAAAAAAGGACAAACTACACTAGCCGATGAAAATTTTAGACAAAAAAAATTCTTTAGGTGAAAATGTGTAGAATTCAATCATTTTTCCAACAGGTCGAAATATTTTTTCTGACTTGTTTTTTTCAATTAGTGATTTCTGCAAATGCCAAATATACGTGCGAATAGTGACTAAAATAATTAATTCTGCGACTAGACGAGATACAGTGTACGATTTTGAATATAATATAAAATAACAGAAACGCATTGTGTCCGGACCGTGTCCGAAACCGTACTTCGTGTATTCACTTTTTATGTTTTCAACTGTATTGATATTTTTGCATCAGGCACAGTATCTCGTCTTATTCGCAGCTTTAATACTTCGCTCGATATCTCTCGTGATTGCCATATTTACAGGGTCAATGTGGTGAATATTGGGTTTCTCTCGCTGGACTTTAGAAGTCGTGAAAATGAAGAACGATAACGTGATACCCACTTGCAATTATATTGGTTGTCCTTTAGGCTAGGTCATGACATTATCGGAAACATTCGCACACTTTCCGACAAGGCACGTCAGGACGTCCTTCGTTCAAACATCCCTATCAACCCAGATTTTGTCGTAGGCCTTTCGTGGACCAACGCACACTTACTTTTAAAAAAATCGGTAAGTGTGCGGCGGCCTTTAGTGATAAAGTCGTAAATATTGCCGATACAGTCTCCACATATCACGAGATTCGGATATGCAAGGCATTTGTTTTCTATTGATTATTGAAATTTTTTTTTCTTATATCCATGTACTTATATTGCAGAAGATGACCTCTAACAGTGTTAGTGTATTGTGCTTAAGCGTTGCAGTTTTAGTTGCTTTTGCTTCAGCACAAGGTAATTTTTGACTTATTTTCTAGAATTTAAGGTTGATTTCATTAAAAAAACAATTCATTTCTAAAAAAAAGTTTGAGAACAGATATGGAACCTATATTAGAAATAAAGCAGGATCTAAAGGAGTGAAACGCCTTTTTCGTGAACTGGTGTGAACCAACAATGTAATTGGTGACAACTAAGTTTCCACTTGTTTGTTGGTAAAGTCTGTTTAAAATTTTAACAGTCTTTATTAAGAGGATCTGGCAACAGACTAGTAAGGGGCCCCTGTACGAAGTTTTTACATAACTTTCAAAGGATGTCGTTTCAGATCCAAACCAGTGTCTTATATCTTTGATTTTTATCCCACTGGTCTTGACTGTGTGCACTTGATGTAAAGACACAGTATGTAAAATTTCCATTATCAAAAACATATACTTGAACAGATTTCTAAAATAGACTATTTACTACTTCGTATCTACTTGATCAAACTGAATATGTTTTAAAGGAGTGATTAAAAGAGGAGTGTGCTAATTGTTTAGTTTAGGACTTGTAAATCTCGATATGTTTAGTTGGAACCTTAAAAATAGGAAACATATTTCTCTACAATTTGGCGTATTGCAACATCTACTAAAAATAGAGTTAAAACAATAAGTTAAAACTTCCATATTAGCAATGGCTCAACTCTATGAGTGAGGGCCCGTCAACTTAAGTAGGTTAGACATTTTGGGTGGGAGCCCGTGGTTAAACCATTCTCTGGTAGTTGAGCCTCTGCATATAAGGTAAGGGACACTTTTGTTTAGATTTTGGTCTATAGTTTTAACGTTGTGCACCAACCTTAAACTCTATAATCTTAATATTTGCAGGTTATGGCAACACTATTATGATCTCAAGTGAAATGCCATACGTAGTATCTGATGTTTTGTCAGGAGGAGGACTTTCAGTAACATGGCCAGGCTCCAGATTAATTAACGTGGTACCCTCTAATAGTTTACAACGCATAGTACCGAGCGGAGCCCAACCATATATAACCCAAGGAAGTGGAATTCCACAGACGCTACCACGGAATATACCAAATGTAATGTTAGGAAATGGTATACATGTACTTGGAGGAATGCCAAGCAACATGCCCCAAGTAATTACTGGTGCAGGTATACAAAGAACAATGCCTGGAGTCGGAATGTCAAGTATGATGCCAGGTATGGGAATGCCATTTATAACTGGTGATATGATGGATGTACTAAAAGACTATTACCAAGCCGCTGATTTGATGAATGTGATCGGTCGATCATTTGGAATGAACGGTTATCAATGTAAGTATAAATTTAAATGAAGTAATAATATGTGTATACATTTTAAAGGTATCGGCATTAAAGGGACAGGTTCGCCATTTTCGGAGGTTGATTTGGGTCGTAAATATATGCAAATAGTCTTAGAAGTATTTGAAATGACTCGTCATTTTAACTTTCAAACGTGGATAATTCTGGACACACATGGACACAAATTTCGACGGTGAGCTGTGAACACTTTTACTGATTAGCTTAGCTCAAAATTCCCGTTTCTAATAATAGTGTAGGATTGGTCAAAACAAAGGCGAATCTGTCCCTTTAATGACGTAACATCCTCCACAGTATATCAAACCGCTTACGGGGCCCAGTTTCAACCCGATAACATTTTCAGAATTCTAATTGCAATTTAACAATACACTCACCATATATTTAAGCTGTTATTAAGATTCTCATGAACAATATATCTGTGTATAACGACTCGGAAATAACATTATCTGAGTTTTTAATTTTTTAATTGCATAAAATTTCATAAAACTAGGATATTGGATCTTAATTTGCAACTATTCTTCGGATAGTTCAAATGTAGTTCAACTTGTAAAACAAATATTTGAACAATATATATTCTCTTTGAAGGGTTGCTAAACTGATTTATATTTAATTTTAGACCCAGCACAAAGAACAGTCATGAGACCTGGCCCAAGAATGTTGAATTATCCGACACCATCCAGTTCTCCATCTACAGCTACCGTTGCTAAAACCAAAACCATACATAAACAAACAGATCTCAAAGTTTCAAATGTAACATCATTACCAACAACCAATCCATAGGATGATTTTAAAAGGGTAAAGTCCAATAGTATTGATTAATTTTCAGATACAGATAATTTTCATTCAATGCTATTTATATTTCCAAACAAAACACGATCATAAATACCATTGTCAAATTGTAGAAATCTAATAGATTGTGGTTCAATATTTCACCAAAACGCAGACGTTGTTACAGATGAACAACATTTTGTTTCTAATTTATTTCAGTGTATCTATTAGTTTCAGAAAACTTTAGTTTGTTTCTTTATACTGAATGTCTGGTATATATTATATAACATATTATGTTTGTATGTTTGTTACATATTTATGTAACTTTCGTGCCAGTGCTTTCGTAATTTCAATTATATATTGTTATTACATCTTTCACCAAAATTACAGCGATCACAAGTCACAATTTTACCTTGGTCATTGTTATAATCGCATGTAAGAAACCACCATTTCATATGATCTAAATAATTATTTTTGTTAAAGGCAATTATGACACGAACATTCTTTTTTTTTCAATAATTTGTATTAAAAATTTGTGTATAAAGAAGAGTACATTATAATATGTATTATTATATTGTTATAAAGGTTTAATTTTTTTCACTATAAATCATTTTAAGAATTAGTTTTTGTGAATTTTTACTCCGCGGATGCGGATGCGAATATATTACATGCTAAACTTATTTCATTGAAGAAAATGTAGAATGTTTAATTCTGCTTGCTTATTCAGACGAAACTTGCCGTCTGCTGTTTAAAAATTCACCTGTTCATTTAACTATTTCACTGAGTCAATAGTGGCGGGAGATAATTCGTATGAACTAATATCTGTATCCTAATCAGATTACTACCAATCTCTACCAAAAAGGGAGAAGAATACCCAAATAATAATTTTGTAATTTTATTAACAATTTGTAAGACTATCGATTAAAAATATCTTTCGTAATAAACAACTAAAATAAAAATAAAATTAAAAAATAAAACTATAAGGTATATTTTACTCATTTTACTATTTTTTTCCAAAACTAATATTAAATCAGTTTATCCTCTCAATTGTCGTCCACTATATTTCAAACTCAAATTGGTACTGATCCACCATGACCACCATGACCACCATGACCACCATGACCACCACCAATACCGGAAATAGTTTTGACGATAGCACCAATACCAGTAAATGTCTGAGTTGGTGGAGGACCTTTTCCTCCACCTTTACCCCAGGCTCCTGTTTGTGGAAGAAATTGTCCCATGGGAAACTGTGGTCTAGGATCTGTAAAAATTAAAATCGTGATAACTAGATTTTAAAACAATGAATATCAATGGTCAGATACAAATAAAATTCCCGAGACTTTAAGAAATAAAAACAATACCTAATGAAAATAAATTTTCGTCTTGGTGTCGACAGGTTTGGAGTTATCATCACAAGATGTTATTGGAATTGAATTGAGTTGCTTAGTTTATGTAAACCTACATTATTATTTCCAGAAGGATGATGCCTCTCTAAGAGGAATATTATAAAATATGAATGAATAACTTACTTGGAAAATTTCCCAGTCCTGATCCAAATCCAAAGCCTGGCATAGCCATTCTACTACCATACATATCACTCAATGTATCCATCATATCGGCATTCATAAATGGGCCTCCTCCACCCATAAATCCTGGTAAACCTTCATAAAATACCGCCAAGACAAAATTGTTATTACATTTTGGCCACATATTGTTAGCAGGGTGACAAGAGAGTTTTGCTCAAATGTCAAAATTTCTTCATGGAATGAATTTTTAATTATAAAATTAGCGAGGGTCTACAATTGTAGTTTCTTGAATACTTCAGTTGTGATTAAATGTAAATATACCTACCTTGTGGAGAAACCACCACTATTAAAACAGCTAAACTGAACACTTTATACGGCAACATCTAAAGGAGAGGTAAAATTTTATCGTGCATTTAAGGCATTTTGGAATTCATTACTGTATGTTGCTATAACTTCAGATTCAGCAGAGACAGTATACAATGCCTTTCATTACCTTCGTAATTAGTGTCTTTTAGCTCTAACACTGGACAAACTATAGTTTACAATTATTGTTCACTAGCAGATTTTTTTCCCATTAAATATGAATACTAAATATACACGAAGAGTGCCATTATTTTAAAAAATTTTGTTAAAAAAAATGGTCGTACAGTTTAAACTGCGTCTGTCAACATATTACCTGTCCAATTATGGCCTTTCATACTACCTTTTCTTCATTCATTGGCCGAATCAGGAACTGTACAAAAACGTAACTTAAAAGCTTAACTACATTTATTTAAGTGTGAAAAACAAAATATCAAAGAATTTGAAGTATAGGGCCGCGTTTTACTGCAAGAATTACTGAATAAAATATTTGATTTCCTACCTTAAGTTGTGTCTCCACTTGCACTGCTTGAATCGGAGTTTGGGTGAGTTCTAATGTTTGGTTGGTGCACTGTGGCTTTTATTGTACCAAGAATTGGAGTGTAATTTGTTAACTGTCTGCCTTCATTGTGCCCGGGGCTTTCATTTTATTCACCATGTCATGAGTACTTGTATTATTGTATAATGTAGTTAAATTGTTGTACAATTAATTATCTAAACTACATAATTTGTTACTGGATTATACAGCTGTGGAATGAAAGAGGGTTATTTTTATTGTGGTATGTAGTCTTTATTTCAAGGGGGTCAATACCTTGATGGAACAGAAAGTAAACAAATTACTCTCTTTTCAGCTACTCCCTGTGAAATAAATCCAAGCTCTTGCAGGTTGCTCATTGATTCTTATAAATCAGCTCATATTGGAGTAGGATTTGTCAATTGAAAATCTAAGGTGGCGCCGATTTTTCAAGATGGTTGCCAAATAAGCCGTCCGGAGTTCATATTTTCGATACCGATTTGCATGGTATATTTGTGCATTTTCTCTTTGTATATTTACAACAATCTAGCACATTCTTAGACACTATGACATCCTCCTTAAGATCGAAGTGTCATCCGGAGTCTTTACAGAGACACAAGCTGGAGAAACGGCTACAAAAAAACTATCACCATCCTTTGAAGTCAACAATGGAGTAAAGCAATGATGCCTTAACTTAATAATTGATGAAGATCAGCATAATCCAACCCCGAGGCATACAATGGACCCTCATGAGAAAGCGTAAGGCAGCGTCATGCTGCTGCGCTCTCGCTCGTAGTCAAAACATCAAGATTGAGCCACATCAACAGAACCATGGATTGAAGACAAACACAAAGAAAGCAAAGAGCCTGCGGATAGGCCATAAAGGATGTTGACCACATGATCTACCTGGACAGCGCTGTGAGCTAGGGGGAGCTAATAAAGGCTAAGATCAGCAAATTGCTTTTGTAACCCCCAGACAAGAGAGAAATGAAATAGCATGTACTCCAAGTTAATGCTGTTCAAAACCATCGTCAGGTTTTAGCCAGATTCTGCGCAACAGATGAATGAATCTCCAACGAATAACTAATTGGCTAAACATGGACGAAACAATACCTAATCACCAAGAGCATCTAGACAATGAACTGGAGTTGGACTGGTCACTCCCTGCGTAGAGGAAAGGTCCTCAATCCATACCAATCCTTTGACTGGAACCCACAGTCCACAAGGAGAAGATCTCTACTGAAAGAACTCTGCAGATAGAGATCTGCAATGCAGGCCCCGTGATCCGACCGAAAAGAAAATTACTGAAGAAAAAATATTAGTTTAGTGGTTATATCGTGTAGAGGAGTATTGGCATTGGTAGGTCTATCTTTGGGTCAGCAGTCAGCTTTATCAGTGGGATAGATTATTTGTTCTAGTACTCACCACTGGTCTAACTCTCACAAATGGTTTCAAGAAGGTGGAATCAGTGACAGTGCATGTGTGCTATCCTGTTCAACACGCAAAGTCAAAGCACAAGAGGTGAATTAGCCTGCTTACTTCGTTGTATTGTAAAAATCGAAAACCATATTACGACGACAAGAACAAAAGACAAAATGAACGAGAACAATGGAAATGAGATAAAAAAAAGAAGATGGTCATGGTAAAGGTCAACCCAATTTTATTTTAAATTGTCCATTCTTTACATGCAGTAAGACTATGGCCTTCTTGGAAATCGTGATTCATTCCGAGAAATCGTCGTCTGTCGATCAGCGTGCCTCGAAACTAGATGCTACCTACATACAGCACCGTGTCCAGTTGGCTGGGTAAGCACAAGGTGAAAGAGGTCCATGACCATGCGGTTATATGTAGCGGAATTCTGGTTGAGTTTGAGCGGTATTCATTATTCAAAACTCAAAGCAATGGCAGAGAAGGTTTTGGTGAGATTTGGCACGACGTTTGCAAATCGCATTTTTCAGCGATGACATTCATCAAAAACAAACAGCATAGCCGCCTTTGGAAATAGGGGGTAAGGTGACCTTCATCATTTTCCCACATACAGAAAAATGTGACCGAAAATAAATTCGGCCCAAGGGTCACATTGAACTATCTCGATATGTTGAGTATGATTTCATTCATATCCATCCATGGTTTGTGGTTGATTATATTTTTCAAGAGAAATGCGTTTCAAAATGATTAATAGATTTTGAGAATCTATTTAAAAGAGTCTTTCTGGGAGGTATGATCTAATTGAGGTTAAGAAGCACTGATGCAGTTGAATTGAAAGAGAGATTGTCAGGCAACGTAATATACGCCCACTGGCAGCTTTGATTTTAAAGAAATGTTTTTTTTTTTAAATATTTGGCAGTACAGTAACAATCACCAGTAAAAAATATTCTACCTTCAGTCATACACTTCTTTTTAACTTTATTGGGAAATATTGAAAAATATTATCATATTTTGTCAAAATATGTCAAGAATTGTGCCATCTAGGGTGTTTACAAGCTAAAATTGAACGCGTTTTCAATAATAAGGGCAATAACTCAAACTAGTAATTTTTCGATTATTCTGATTTTCAATTGGGTTCATCCTTGGGTGATAATAAACACTCACACCAAATTTCATCAAAATCCGTCAAGAATTGCGCCTACTAGAGTGTTATATTTTAATATATTTTTAATAGGGTTCATCTTTGGGTGATTATGAAACACTCACACCAAGTTTCGTCAAAATCAGTCAAGAATTTTGCCTTCTAGAGTGTTTATGGGCAATTGTGGACCAACGGACGGACTGACCGAGGGACATATTTCATGTGGCGTATAAAAATGAATTGAAAACGAAGATAAATTCGAGAACTTTTAGGATTCCTTTCTTACTACATCTATAGTCATTTCCTGTCAGATTTCTCGAAGATAGCCATGGCATTGTACAACCTGGTAAAAGCAGCATTTGCAACACCAAAAACCAATGGTGTATAATACTTCTGGACGCAAAGGTTAAATGGGCACAATAACATCGGATTGTGGTAGATAAATTACTTGATGTCACCGCCAGTCATGGCATATCCAGTATTTGGCGGTTTGTAGTTTGTTTTTGATTTCACATTTTCAATCTTTAATCAACAGGGTGAAAATCAGATCATAGTAGAGTATACGTCAGGTCGATATAATGGCGTATAGAATGACATCTGCGGGACTTTATGCTACGACTCATATGGGATGCAAAAATGTCAGACGTACTTTAAATTCACTGTACAAGTACAATCCGGGGCATGTTATACATACAATACAGATGCCCCACGAATTTGAGAAATATAACATAAGATATCAGCCCTGACCTGAGTCATAAGGTAATGGACAGCTGTGCAGAATAGCTTCAAAGTAACAAGGACTGCTGAGGGATATCTCAATCTTCACGTCGTGTTCAAACCAAGCCCCATTACAATAAATACTAAATGTCAAAACCCTCATTGGGATCAATGTTTCTTTCTTTCTTTAGAATGCGGATTTTAAGATTAGTTTCGTGATTTTCTGGATTCATTATATCCATCATCCACGATTTTGAATCCTGTTGTGTCGTTCTGGGCATCAACTAAGAGAAACAATACTTTTATAATAGTTTTTAATTTTATTCACAAATTGTATGTGTTTTTACCAATAAAATAAACAAAACTACACATAGACATGTTTCATATAAAAATAAAACTTAGACATACATAACTTGCTTTAAATATATAGATATGTGTGTGAAAAACAATATCACTAGAAAGAAAACACACACAAAACCGACACTTCATAGAAAAATAATCATAAATTACTTTCACTATATAAGTTCAAAATATACAGTATTTATGATCATTTTTCATTGGAGTATCGCTTTGGTGTGTATTTCCGTTCAAGTGATAATATTATTCAAATATGTGTTGAGACCACAACCAAAATCATCTACTTAATACGTTGTCCTTGGAAAATACGCGAAGTCGTTCCTGACTTGGCCAGAGAGTGGGTTAGTGATAGGTTTGACTGGAGGACCACCCTTACCACCACCAATACCGGAAATAGTTTTGACGATAGCACCAATACCAGTAAATGTCTGAGTTGGTGGAGGACCTTTTCCTCCACCTTTACCCCAGGCTCCTGTTTGTGGAAGAAATTGTCCCATGGGAAACTGTGGTCTAGGATCTGTAAAAATTAAAATCGTGATAACTAGATTTTAAAACAATGAATATCAATGGTCAGATACAAATAAAATTCCCGAGACTTTAAGAAAAAAAAACAATACCTAATGAAAATAAATTTTCGTCTTGGTGTCGACAGGTTTGGAGTTATCATCACAAGATGTTATTGGAATTGAATTGAGTTGCTTAGTTTATGTAAACCTACATTATTATTTCCAGAAGGATGATGCCTCTCTAAGAGGAATATTATAAAATATGAATGAATAACTTACTTGGAAAATTTCCCAGTCCTGATCCAAATCCAAAGCCTGGCATAGCCATTCTACTACCATACATATCACTCAATGTATCCATCATATCGGCATTCATAAATGGGCCTCCTCCACCCATAAATCCTGGTAAACCTTCATAAAATACCGCCAAGACAAAATTGTTATTACATTTTGGCCACATATTGTTAGCAGGGTGACAAGAGAGTTTTGCTCAAATGTCAATTTTTCTTCATGGAATGAATTTTCAATTTAGCGAGGGTCGACAATTGTAGTTTCTTGAATACTTCAGTAGTGATTAAATGTAAATATACCAACCTTGTGAAGAAACCACCACTATTAAAACAGCTAAACTGAACACTTTATACGGCAACATCTAAAGGAGAGGTATAATTTTATCGTGCATTTAAGGCATTTTGGAATTCATTACTGTATGTTGCTATAACTTCAGATTCAGCAGAGACAGTATACAATGCCTTTCATTACCTTCGTAATTAGTGTCTTTTAGCTCTAACACTGGACAACTATAGTTTACAATTATTGTTCACTAGCAGATTTTTTTCCCATTACCTTTTCTTCGGTATACATGTATGATGATTCATTGGCCGAATCAGGTACTGTACAAAAACGTAACTTAAAGCTTAACTACATTTATCTAAGTGTAAAACACAAAATACCAAAGTTTCATTGTGTCCCGTTCTGCCTGACAAAATTGTATAAAAATATTTGATTTCCTACCTTTAGTTAAATCGGAGTTTGGATGCATTCTAAGGTTTGGTTGGTGCTCTGTGGCTTTTATTGTACCAAGAACTGGAGTGTAATTTGTTAACTGTCTGCCTTCATTGTGCCCGGGGCTTTCATTTTATTCACCATGTCATGAGTACTTGTATTATTGTATAATCTAGTTAAATTGTTGTACAATTAATTATCTAAACTACATAATTTGGTACTGGATTATACAGCTGTGGAATGAAAGAGGGTTATTTTTATTGTGGTATGTAGTCTTTATTTCAAGGGGGTCAATACCTTGATGGAACAGAAAGTAAACAAATTACTCTCTTTTCAGCTACTCCCTGTGAAATAAATCCAAGCTCTTGCAGGTTGCTCATTGATTCTTATAAATCAGCTAATATTGGAGCAGATAACAGAGAAATCGTACACTTGTTCTCCATGTCATCTAATCAAATCTGCCCGATTTGCCAATTGAAAATCTAAGGTGGCGCCGATTTTTCAAGATGGCTGCCAAATTAGCCGCCCGGAGTTCACATTTTAGTTACCGATTTTCAGGATATATTTGTGCATTTTCTCTATATGTATTTAAATATTGCTATATGCCATTGATTTGAAAAGACACTTGAGATGGTGGACTGGACAACATTCTAGCACATTCTTAGACACTATGACATCCTCCTTATGCACGAAGTGTCCTCCAGAGTCTTTACAGAGACACAAGCTGCAGAAACGGCTACAAACGGTCACCATCCTTTGAAGTCAACAATGGAGTAAGGGCAATGATGCCTTCTATCTCCACTAATCTTCTCACTTGTATTAACTTAATAGTTGATGAAGATCAGCATAATCCAACCCCGAGGCATACAATGGACCCTCATGAGAAAGCGTAAGGCAGCGTCATGCTGCTGCGATCTCGCTCGTAGACAAAACAGCAAGATTGAGCCACATCGACAGAACCATGGATTGGAGACAAACACAAAGAAAACAAAGAGCCTGCGGACAGGCCATAAAGGATGTTGACCGCATGATCTACCTGGACAGCGCTGTAAGCTAGGGGTAGTTAGGAAAGGCTAAGATCAGTAAATTGCTTTTGTAACCCCCAGACAAGAGAGAAATGAAATAGCATGTACTCCAAGTTAAAGCTGTTCAAAACCAACGCCAGGTTTTAGCCAGATTCTGCGCAACAGATGAACGAATCTCCCACGATTAATTAATTGACTTAACATGGACGAGACAATACCTAATCACCAAGAGCATCTAGACGATGAACTGGAGTTGGGCTGGTCACGCCCTGCGCAGTGGAAAGGTCCTCACTGAACTATCTCGATATGTTGAGTATGATTTCATTCATATTCATCCATGGTTTGTGGTTGATTATATTTTTCAAGAGAAATGCGTTTCAAAATGACTTTTGGCGACGAATCTATTTAAAAGAACTCTTCCTGGGAGGTATGATCTCAATGAGGTTGAGAAGCAGGGATATAGACTAGAACGGACGGACCGACTGACCGAGGGACATATTTCATGTGGGCTTATAAAAATGAATTGAAAACGAAGATAAATTCGAGAACTTTTAGGATTCCTTTCTTACTACATCTATAGTCATTTCCTGTCAGATTTTCTCGAAGATAGCCATGGCATTGTACAACCTGGTAAAAGCAGCATTTGCAACACCAAAAACCAATGGTGTATAATACTTCTGGACGCAAAGGTTAAATGGGCACAATAACATCGGATTGTGGTAGATAAATTACTTGATGTCACCGCCAGTCATGGCATATCCAGTATTTGGCGGTTTGTAGTTTGTTTTTGATTTCACATTTTCAATCTTTAATCAACAGGGTGAAAATCAGATCATAGTAGAGTATACGTCAGGTCGATATAATGGCGTATAGAATGACATCTGCGGGACTTTATGCTACGACTCATATGGGATGCAAAAATGTCAGACGTACTTTAAATTCACTGTACAAGTACAATCCGGGGCATGTTATACATACAATACAGATGCCCCACGAATTTGAGAAATATAACATAAGATATCAGCCCTGACCTGAGTCATAAGGTAATGGACAGCTGTGCAGAATAGCTTCAAAGTAACAAGGACTGCTGAGGGATATCTCAATCTTCACGTCGTGTTCAAACCAAGCCCCATTACAATAAATACTAAATGTCAAAACCCTCATTGGGATCAATGTTTCTTTCTTTCTTTAGAATGCGGATTTTAAGATTAGTTTCGTGATTTTCTGGGATTCATTATATCCATCATCCACGATTTTGAATCCTGTTGTGTCGTTCTGGGCATCAACTAAGAGAAACAATACTTTTATAATAGTTTTTAATTTTATTCACAAATTGTATGTGTTTTTACCAATAAAATAAACAAAACTACACATAGACATGTTTCATATAAAAATAAAACTAAGACATACATAACTTGCTTTAAATATATAGATATGTGTGTGAAAAACAATATCACTAGAAAGAAAACACACACAAAACCGACACTTCATAGAAAAATAATCATAAATTACTTTCACTATATAAGTTCAGAATATACAGTATTTATGATCATTTTTCATTGGAGTATCGCTTTGGTGTGTATTTCCGTTTTAGCGGTAATATTATTCATATATATTTTGATACCACAACCAAAATCATTTACTTAATACGTTGTCCTTGGAAAATACGCGAAGTCGTTTCTGACTTGGCCAGAGAGAGGATCAGTGATAGGTTTGCTTGGAGGACCACCCTTACCACCACCAATACCGGAAATAGTTTTGACGATAGCACCAATACCAGTAAATGTCTGAGTTGGTGGACGACCTTTGCCTCCACCTTTACCCCAAGCTCCTGTTTGTGGAAGAAATTGTCCCATGGGAAACTGTGGTCTAGGATCTGTAAAATGAAAAATCGTTATAGATATGTTAATCTATTACCAGCGACCATGTATTTTCACTTCAATGAAATCAAGCGACTAGAACAGTTCTCATTATCTCCATTGTATAAACATCGTATAGTATTTATTGAGATTAAAAAGGGATATAGTTTATTGTATATTTATGTACTTTTCTTTTGCCCGTGGGGTCGCGAGAGAATAAATTATCTTTATTATTAAAACTACATTAACAAATAAAATGTCCAAGACTTTTAGAAACATCAACAATTTTCTATTGAAAATAGACCGTCGTCTAGATGACGACAGGTTCTTAGTAGATTATCACAGTGCCGTTTTCAAAATCGCATTCAAAATTGGACTAATCAAAGTCCAGAAGGAAGATGCCTCTCTAAAAGGAATAGCATAAAATATGAATGAATAACTTACTTGGAAAATTTCCCAGTCCTGATCCAAATCCTAAGCCTTGCATAGCCATTCTACTACCATACATATCACTCAATGTATCCATCATATCGGCATTCATAAATGGGCTTCCCATCATTCCCATACCTCCAAACATACCAGCTCCACCCATACCGTTAAACATACCAGCTCCACCCATACCTCCTGTCATACCAGCTCCACCCATACCTCCTGACATAACAGCTCCCCCCATACCTCCTGACATACCAGCTCCACCCATACCTCCTGACATACCAGCTCCACCCATAGCTCCAGTCAAACCTGGTAAACCTACAGAAAATACCACCAAGACAAATTTGTTATTTGTTTATTCAGACAGTGTATTCTAAATGCACCAATTTCAAATAGTAATGCTCAGTTCACACCAACAGCGCTCTGATGGCGCTTTAAAGCGGCGTACAAAGCGGTACCAACGCGTAACAAAGCTCGACTAAAGCGCCAGGGTCGTAATAGATCGTTGGAAAGCTTTGAGCAAAGCTGGATATTCGGCAAGAGCGCCAAAAAATTTTAAACTGTTTAAAAATTTTTGCCGCTCTGTCACGAATTGATTAAAGCGCCGAGAACGTATCAAAGCTTAACAAAGCGTAACAAAGTTCAGCAAAGCTTGGCTCAAAGCGTAGGAAAGCTTAACAGAGCTTTATTCAAAGCAAGGACCCCATTCTTCACGGTCTGTCACCACTTGATCAAAAGAGGCATGAAATCGGCCATTTCGAAATTTTCCAATGCGTAACAGAGCTTAACAATGCACAACAGCTTGATAATCAGAGCGTCCCAAAGCGTAACCAATTCGTATCAGAGCTTATCAGAGAGTAACATTACTTAGGAGATCGTGATATTTTTTGAAAAGTAAACAAAAAATGATGGCGCTTTGCTCGCCGATTTAAAGCGCGGCATTCGCCGTTGGCGTGAACTAGGCATTAGAATTGCTTCATAGACTTTGGATTACAGATTTATACTTTTTTTGTAACCAATGTAAAATCATTCGAAGTTTACTCGACATTGAGTAATTTCCGTAAGAAACAGAATCTTTAGAAATAACAAAACAAATTTTTGATATGGTTTACATAATTCAAACAGCGAAAATATTTTATGAATTTATATGGGACGGTACTTAACTACAAAAGATTGAAGGAATTCCTAACATCTGCACTTTCTTATTGCAAGAACCACAGACGTCTGATTGAATATTGGCTTGGTGCAAATTGATGCTATAAGTGTCACTGATACACATAAAGAAATTATTTACAAAACTTCTTTACAATCAATTTAAATTAGAATAGAAATATACCAACCTTGTGAAGAAACCACCACTATTAAAACAGCTAAACTGAACACTTTAAACGGCAACATCTGTAACATATAATTCTAAATTTGTATTTATAAGCGTTTTGAAATTTATGTCATCAAGTTGCCGCAATTGTAAGAGACCAGCCTCAGCAGAGATGGTATGCATTGCCAACGACTTTGTCGAGTTGATTTTTGTCGTAACTACTAGTACAAAGCAAACCATTTCAGTGTTGTGTAAAGAACAAACACCAAAGAATTTTAAGCATGGGACTTTATGTTACTCGGACAATTATTAAAACCTTAATGTCTTCTGTTCTGATGATAAAATTATACGAGTCAATTCCCTACCTTCAGTTTTATCACAATATGAACTACTAGAATTGGAGTAAAGATGCGTTCTAAGGTTTGGTTGGTGCTCTGTGGCTTTTATTGTACCAAGAACTGGAGTGTAATTTGTTAACTGTCTACCATAATGTGCCCGAGGCCTAGATTTTCATCACCATGTCATGAGTACTTGTATTATTGTATAATCTAGTTAAATTGTTGTACAATTAATTATCTAAACTACATAATTTGGTACTGGATTAAGGACATAAGAATATATATTTATACACTTCAATCAAATTTTGAAGTTAAGATGGTGATGAAGAATGTTGTCGGAATTCCCCTAAATTTTGATTTATCATGACATATACTAAACTCTTTATTTTACAAATTTATTTATTCTAGATCTTTCTACGTCAGCCCTTATTAGGCCCATTCTTTAATAGTCCAAATGTATAATTATTGTTGTGTATTGCATCAAATCGCGTTCAATGGCCATTTTTGTGAAAGAGTCGAAGTGTATCTATATCGAGTTTCATCAAAATTTAACGTATTTGATTCTGTTGAGGTGAATTTTCGCCAAATTTATACAAATATTAAATATTGTGAAATACACGAATAAGCAAAAAGCAGAAATTCATGGATTATGTTTCAAAATTGTCGATTCTGTTGTAAAACACATTGTAAAATAGTCGGTAATGCCTTGGTTGGAATCTTTAATGGTTCAGCTTTACAAAGATACCAAAAGATATGCCAAATTGAGTTTTTCTCCAAAAACGTGCCGATATACCATCCGTATATCACGTCCGAGTGACAGTTAGGGCCAGAATATCGAACGCCTTTTGTCAATATGCTATCTTTTCTATTTTACTGATATTTTCGTCTTTATTGTAATCTGAAAAATATATAAATAAAACTAAGCGCAAGTTAAATATATTTCAATTTAAATCCAATCCAATTCAAGTCAAATATTTTCATTTTTGAAAGTGGAAGACTAAATTTGGTGAATGTGTATCCAAGGAGCTTGATGAAAATTTACATGAGAATAAATAAACTAAGTAGAGCAATTCCACAGCCGATATCCCACAATGTACAAGGTACAAGGTAACATGCGCCCATCAGTATTGAATACTATGCATTTGGAAAATCTTAAATTCAGCTCCCTAAGCGACCAGCATTCATCTGAGTTTGTTTTTCGAAGTTGTCCTTCAAAACAAAGTTTTATTATTCAGGAAATTCGCGTGAATATTTAATAAAGTTTTCTTCACTTGGCATAATTAAGACGATGAAAACCATGCCCCAGTTTACTTATTTCAGGCTTTCTGTAAAGGGCCAAATGAATGAAATAGAAAGCTCTAGCGAAGCGAGGGGAGCGTTTTAGCGGGCGGGGTCCAGAGGTCCGGAAGTTTTAAGGTTTCACACAGCTTTGGCACTAATTTTGCATAAAAGCATAGCAACATGTACATAGGCCAAATCAAAATAATGACACTGTTAGTATGGTTGAAATGGTGAGACGCTACAGCTAAGATGAGTGTCTTGAAGTCGGGCGTAATTGAAGTAGTAGCAATCCGTAAAATCAAATGGTCACATGAGAGACTGCTTCTTGATTTGCTCTTTGCGATGTTTATGTGGGAAAATAAGGACTCGCATAGCCATGTTGGGCCAGACATTGGGGTGGCAAAGATATCCCGAAGTTTAGGGGGATAGGTCATAACCACAATTTAATTGGGTTAAATGACTGGGCGGGGATATCAGCCTTAAAGTGGTAAAATTTTTATTATTATTCTGTTTATACATTTTTATATTATTTTTGAATTTCAAAAACTTTTGAAATGTATTTTTTTGTAGTAATGTCCGCGGGCCGCCATTTGAGAAGGTCTGACTTGTGTGGACTTAGACCGGTAATTTCACTCCTGTTTCCTCCTATAACTTTTTACAGAAATCTCATTAAAAACTTTCCAATATGCCTGGCCAATAGTTAGTTTCTGGACAAAAATTCAATATATCATGACTATGAAAATCTTGAGCCAACCAAACTAAATGTAGACCACTCCATTTGATCAACATCCGCTTGACTCTCACTGCACACAAAACGAAAGAAAATGCAATTTCAGACATTTCCAAATCTAGACCACAAACAGGCATACAAACACTCAAAAGGGAGGGGGGGGGGGGGGGGATTTCTAAAAAAAATAACAAGGACTACATTCGATACAATTATCTACATTTTAGTGGTCTGAGTCCAGCTTTACTTACATTTGATTAAGAGTAACCTCCCCCTTAACGTTCTATGGTGGGGGGGAAATGATGTTCGCAAGCAGCCAAATAGTATGTTTATTTACCTGCAGAAAAAATCTGATAAGCTTTGTAATGAATCGAATCAGATGCAAGAGCGTACAACACCGTGGCATTGTTTCAAAATAATTACCTCCCTTGGTTAAATGCCAGTTAATTCTATTTTGTACCTCTTTCGAGAGGTCAATTGGTCCGAGAAGTGGGACTTTTCCCATCTCATAGGTCGGAGCTTTTCGTTAAAAAGTTAAAACTATGTTATATTATATATAGACACAGCTTTATGGAACAACAATCAATGGTTAAAGTTTTATGCAACGTTATGTTATTTTAAGAATTATGTACCTCTTATTGAACCTGTTAAAATTTAATGTAATGTATCAATAAACCATTTATCTCTTGTGTGTTCTTAATAATAAGCATTAATGTATATATAGTTTGCCCATCACTTCTTCTCATTATGTGCCTGAGGACGACGGGGGAAACACGTCGAAACGTTGCATAAAACTTTAACCAGTGATTGCTGTTCCATAAAGCTGTGTCTATATAGTCCCTAATACCATAAGTGAACCAGTTTTTAATGAATATAGGAGGTGGAATAAAATATGAAATACAGAGATAGCCACCTGGGTATGCGGTCTAAGAACATCTAGAATGATTTCGTTAAGCAATAGTAAAAGGGGTTGTAAAATGGTTTTCTGAATTTGTATGTGTATTGGGGACACTGATAGCATCAATTTGCACTTATACTTAGTTTTTGTGGAATTGCAGGAACTACAGATTGATTGCAAATTGGAATGGTGCAATTTGATGCTATCTGTGTCCCCGATGCACATAAAAAATATAGAAAACCTCTTTACAATCCCTTAAAGATGAAACAGGCGAGAAGTATAGTATCTGTTATGTACTGATTGTTTTTAGTTTACTATGAACAATATTATCATTTAAGTTCTTATTTTTTGAATATGCAACTATCATTTTCTGCTTATAGACATGGGGGGAATTTTTCTTGAAGGCTCTTATAGTGGGCATGAACTATCTTGCTTGCTCGATTGCTGGTGGTATTGAACGGGACAACAAAGGGTGTTATGCCTACATTATGATGAATATTAAGTCCTATAGGTCTTGCTGTATTCAATGTCTCAATCCAATGGGCTTCCCTAGATTGACGGAATTTGGTAGTTTCATCTTCGGGCAAGTCAATACAGGTTGAAAAAAAACTCGGACCAAGAAGTGCCATGAATTTTGGGCTGCGCTGTTCCTAGGTGTCTCGCTAGGTGTTGCCACTAACAAGATTATGGGGACGAAGGTGTTTTGCTAGTTGACTCTAATTCAGCAATCACTTGCTTCACCTTTGTGTTTATCATAATATTAGGAAATGACGATAGGTCGAATCTGGACCGGACCCGTATCCGACCATTTATCTGAATATCTGAACACCCCTCAAGAATCTCCAGTCAAAGATCAGCACACCCCTCCTCCCCTGGCCAGGTCTACTTATTCCAGCGATTGGTCAGGTTTTCCTACCCCCCCCCCCCTTATAGTTGCGAGCAGGTGTAAGAAGCAAAGTGCTCTCCGTTTCTTTGCTGACATGTTTTTTTTTTAACTGAACACACCTTTGTCAACATGCTGGAAATAAGATCCATGAAAACGATATGACAACTAATGTTAATTAATTTATTAATAAATTCTATGTTTAAACAAAAAATATAAAAATACATTTATACTATTTTCAATAACATAATTTGTAAATATTATATATTTTTCAATACACCTATTTCATTCTTCTTTGGCTTACTCCTGATAATTTTCAATTTGTTTCAAACCATTCTCTTGGCAGTCTTAAGCTGAAATAGAATTAAGAAAATCCTTAGTCGGAGTCACACATACACATGGTCAATGTTGTAAAATATAACCTGAAATTGTTGCGTCAGAATTGATCATCAGAAACAATTCTAAACAATTCAATATCAAAACAATTCAAGACACCTTGAAATGTAAGACATCCTAAATCTTTAGAAACAATTCCAGACATCCTGAATCGTCAGAAACAATTCCAGACGCCCAGAATCTTAGATACCTAGAAATATCAGAAACAATTTCTAGATATCATGAATTTTCAGAAACATCGCTTAAATAACGTCAAGTCATGGGCTCTTCCACTTAAAATTTCATCCAATTTAAAAATTGCCCATCATAATTTCAAGAAAGGGTTTATATTAGATTAGAAAAACTTTGAATGCGCACCTTTCGGACTAACTCGTCGGTTGTTTTTGGGTGGAGCTCGTAATAACCGTAATCGAGATTGTATTGGGACTCGATTTCGAGTGGAAGAGCCTCTCTGAAATGAACGTCTTTGAATATTTCCAGGTAATGTGTTGACTTTGGATTGAATGTTAAATTGTGGTCTTTGTCTCCCTGCTACTCCTCTTTGTACCGTTGCTGTTTTAGTAGCCACTGTAGTTTGTGGCACAGTCTGTTTCTTAGGAACCTTTGTCTCAGGATTTATTTTCTTTGGAACCCTTTTCTTAGGAACCCTATTCGTAGAAACGATTGTCTTGGAGGCAATGCTTTTTGTAGCAGTTTTCATAATGTCAACATTAGTATGGACAGTTGCTACAGTCGTTGGAGCAGTTACCTCAACCGCTGGAGCTACTCTCTTGGGAACAACTTTCTTTATAGCAGCCGATGTCTGTTGTGGTCCACCTGCTGACATAAGAGAAGATTCCGTAGCTTTCGGGACCCTTAAAGCAGATAATCTTTGAGTTAGTATCGGATTTAGTGGGATCTGCTGATCTAATTGTATCCAAGTTACCTTAGGCTGAGTTTTTACTTGTTGCACAATTCTCCTTGTTGGCTGAACAACTTGCTGTCCGGTAGCAACAGTATTAGCAGGTGCCTGTACATATACAGTTTGCTGGGGAACACCCATCATCAAAGGATCTCTAACAATGGGACTTCCAAAGAGTGGATCGCGAACTGAAAAAAGACATAGAATCTATTAATAGTCAACCAACCTAGTTCTCAGCACACACCTCATGTTGATAGAAACAAAATACAGTGTGTCCGGGTAAGCACTAGGATGTGAAGGGATATATCATTATGATAAGGCTGTAGATATTATTGTAGGGTAACTGGACGTCGAGCTTTACCAGTTGACTCTCATACATGAAAACTTTAATTGAGAATAGTTTGTCTTGAACAGCACATTCAGCAGCAGTAAAGAAGGACTTAAAACGCTAATTTCTTTCTTAATAACATAACACTTACCAACATGAGAAATTCCAAAACCAGCATGAGGAATGCCTAAAGAAGCAGGGTAGATATTTTCACTGTACAAGTTAGAAGCCATTTCATATCTGTGTTTTAGAAGGTCGCCAGCTAAATCTTGTCTGTAATCAACATAGTTGCCCATATCCATAGGGTAGTGAACCATCACTTAAATTAAAATCAAAAGCCGATTTAACCACACACTAGGGCGGGACTGAACACCACAGTGGACGCTTACGATCGGTCCCGAATCCATTCCATTGTTTGATATATATATTGTCTTGTTTCTTTCCCTTTTGTGATAAATTATGAGTTGACTTCAGTCAAAGCTTTTAATTTGTATTGAAAAAAAGAGATTGTCCACGAGTTAACTGGAAAACCATAATCGATACAAAGAAATGCTGAGTTCGAGTATTTGAATTGTGTACTTACTTTGAGAAGAAACAACAGACAGTAGGATGGACAAACCAACACATGTTAAACTGACAAGGGACATCATCTGAAATTATAAAAAAAAAGCTAATGCAAATGTGAATTTCAACTGAATATGGAACAGTTAAACTGGCTCTGAGCTTTTATTTCAATCAGCAAACTAAAAACTATTCAGACATGACTTTGAAACACCATTTACGGTTTTTATTTGCTATTTTTTTTAATAATTAATACTTATTAATTCTAATTATACCTCTTTGAATGAACATGGAATTTTAATTCTGAAACTTGGACAATAAGGGAATATAGGCTATTCATCAGTTTACATCAACTTAACTCGATAAATCCACAAAATCACAAGTATTTGTTTAAAAACTGCTAAAATTGAATCGTGCGATTTAAGTTAATTTAAATTCTATGCTCTTTTTCAGAGATAGAATTCTTCTAAATTAAAATCACTTTTGAGCATAGTTTAGTCTAAATGTATTTAAATAAGTTTAACTTACCTTTGCGATCTAAATTGAAACACAGCGATAACATTTCAGCCTATACCCGACCCTTATATACTCGGATAGAACGGGGGATATGTATATTCATTAATCATAAACATGTACTTATCGTCCTGTTCTTAAATTTAAATCATGTTTACATGTCCGCTTTGTATATTACGTCATGAGAGAGACAGTAAGCGGAAAATTACGTCACTAATATATGAGAATGTCATGTCAGTGACATAGAAGATAAATAATTGTTATGTAGGCAATGTAATAGTCATAACATGTAATAACGCATTAACTTCAGAAATATTCTACATACTTCTTTCCATTCCAATTCGCACAATATATTGTGGTTAACCAACGAAATTGTAATCGATATCGCTACATGTTTATGTTGATTTAAAAGATTTGCCTCATTAACTTACAATTATTAGTAAACGATAATTTTTGTTAAAATTTCTTTTAGTATTTTTACCACTATACGTGGTTTTCATTCTTTCACAATATAAACATCGTATAACAATTTGCGTACTCTGGCCTCTTGAACCAATAACTATAATATGATATTTTACGAGGTTTTAAACTGAGTGTTAATATACGTGTTATTTAATTGGTGTTTTTTTTTTAGTTATTTACTATCAGGCTAAGAATACGAGCTTTCGAACGGTACCAAAAAGTCAAAATGACCAAATATGGCATATACGAGGTTTCAAGCGGTCACCCACGAATCCTATTTCATGATATTATAGGTCAAACTTTTCTCTACCAATACTCCTATTCCCCTGACCATTTTTTTCCTTTTTCTTAAACACGCCCAAATCAGTAATTATTATAGGAGGAAGGTAGAATATTAGAATTATGAAACTCTTGTTTCATAAATGTTTTTATATTGTATTGTGTATGTAAAAAATCTTATTTTATGATAAAATAAGTCAAACTTCTACAAACAATACTCTTATTCCCCCATGGCAATATTTTTTCCCAATTACAAAAACAATAAAATCGGTAATTATCATTAGTGGAAAGTAGACAATATTGGCATGAAAAATTATATTTTCCATATCATTGATTCAATCGATGATGATTTAGAATGTGGTCATCAAAGAGTTACATTTGATATTTATCTTAGTCTTATGAAGTCGTAAAAACCATAAACAATTGCCGACAAAAATAAAACATTTACTTTCATAATGTCTTTGGTCTAATAATCAGAAGTGTTCTCTGGGTGAATAAAAAATCAATTTTTTTTTATGTTGGGTTTTATTTCGATGAAATACTAATTATTTACTATGTTTTTCTTGAATATTTAAATTTTCTTGACTTTTGCCTCTTAGTACTTCATTTCTTTCATCATCATCGTGTGGGTATTACTATTTCCTGTGCTGGATTTAATGTAACTTTCTGATCGATCGATTAGGCAATCAAAACCAAGTAGCATCAGCGTTCGTCTATTACAAACAAAAGCTAAAAATATAAAGAACCCTTGTAGTCCGTTAAGGATGATGTAAATATACCACAGAGCCTCATGCTTAACCATTGCAGCAACAAATCCAATAATCCACGTGAAACCCATTATTGATGACAGCTTAGCGTATATTACAATTATCTTCCTTTCCGAACGACCATTTTCTTTGGCTGCCATTGAAGCTGCTTTCAGACTTCTTTCAATGCCACACAGGGTTAGGACAAAACAGGCTAGGTTGGAAAATAGCGATATACCAACAGGTATATAAAACATGATTATTATTCCTTCCATGTTTGACATCCAGCAGCAAGAAACCTGCCCATAACCAGCTTTAAATCTGGATTCAATTGGCAAGTACTCTAATCCTACGCCGATGCCTACAATTATAGCTGGCAACAGAAAACAGAACATAACAAACCGTTTAAAACGCTTCTGTGCGTCGGACATTGTGACTAATGATGTTTTCCAAAACGTCAATACCATGTTAAGAGCAATAACAGACATCCAACAGAAGACGGACAGCCACACAAAATGGTTGACAACAGCAACGACCATACAAACGATATCATGTTCCACTTGAACCATTACTAATATCTGCCCAATCAATAAACAAAAACTCAACATGGCTGTCATTTTTCCGGCAATCGTCCGCATTTCATGAATCCTAGCGTAAGTAATGATTGTTAGTAACAAGCAAACCATCGATAAACCACTTAAAGCAATTCCAAGATAACGTTGGATTTGAGATAAATCAAAAAATCGCAATCCTGAGAAGAAGTCACAAACAAATACTTTATCTCCTTCGAATTTAAATTTCCCACGTTTTATAATGGCCCCTGATTTTTTCATCTTTAGTGTACCCTTGTCAATGTTGTGTTCGATTTCTGTGGCATCGAAGACTATAATCTTGCAACTGTCGTTCAATTCGTCTTCAAACTGCCTGCAGACGTAGATCTCCTCAATTTTTCCAGAATCAGTATCAGAGTATTTGTCTGTGTTCAACTTGAAAGCGATACTTCTAAGATCATAATAAAATTCTTGGTCAACCTTTTTCACTACAGCGAAATCGACATTCGATATTGTCATTAAGGCAGAATCCAGGAGATGGTCAATAGATCTATTCCCGCACAACGTGGAATTCAGTTCTTCGTATTTGAAATTAGCGGTGACTATGTCGGTGACGCATGGTAATTTCCTTATTCTTTCTAGGGTGCTTAAAATCGGATATGGGTAGTTTTCAATCAATACAGTGTACATTGTTACCATATAATGTTCATCGGATGATTTACCTTCTCGAAGTTGGCACCGATCGGGAGGGTTGTCAGTTGTTCCTTTTTCCGTGTAGTTCAGAATTTTCATTCCGCGTTTTAGATTAGGCTTTTCAACCTTTCCATCATCTACTGGCGAATAATATGTAAAAGTTATAAAAACTGACTTATTGCGATATTGGAATGGTTGTGTTTTGGGATCTATGAAAACAGTATAATTTTTAAAACATCTTCCATTCATGGGATATTGATATGAAGGACAAATGAAAAGTCGACAAATATCGAAAAATGGATCATATATTTCACTTCTGGTACAGTGTTGATTGTCTTCAAGCATCACCTGTCCATTGTTAATATCAAAGAGCACTCTTATATTCTCCGATTCATCTTTTGCCGGAGAACCGCTTCTGTCTCCACATTTATATCTGTGTAAATCGGACAGATTATAACCGTTGAGCAGAGCACAATGAATATTCTTTTCTACTGTGTCGTTCGAGGTATGAACAGGTTTGATATAAGCATGGCATAATTTTGATATATGTCTATTTTCTGTTATTTCGACCTCTTTTACTGTGTCGCGTGGGTAGCATACTGTTTCCGCTACATTATCCAAACTAATTCTTCTTTTGCAGTTATGAAGTCCACTATTGTCTACATTGTCAGTACATAAGATATTAGGGACATTCCAGCCAGTTAAATGGGTGACATTTATACCATGACAAAGAGCACAGTAGATGTTAGCAAAAATCAAATTCCGGTCTTCTTTATATGTCAAGGGCAATAACTCCAACCTTTCTTCGCAATCGATTTCATGTCGGGATGTCTTGGGGCATTTACCGATAACATTTACGTAGCCAATTTTTTCATACAATTTACAAATTCCAAACGTTCTCAGTAAATTAGTGGGACTTGAATCCTGTTCTTCACTTAGATAGCGATTATCAACATACTGCGGGATGGCATTTTCATCAATTTTCATACAAGATGTAAAATAGTCCAAACAGCAATTTCCTAACTCTTCGCAAGATTCCATACAACTACATAGCTTTCTCGTGATATTTTTGTTGCAAACACCGTTACATGTATATTCGCTGCAATATAGATAAGAGAGTTGCAAATTGTATTGTAGATATTCCGAATTGCTGAAATTACCAGTGTCCCCGTTAGTGGGTTTGTTTTCCCTCAAAGCATCTTCAGCTGTAAGGTGACTTCTGTTAGAGGCCAAGTTAGAAGCATCTGGCAACCCTGCATTAGTTGTAAGTGATTTACCCGCATCGCAAACTTGTATACGTAAAATATTTATATGTAATAAAGTACAGACGAATACGGTCTTGATTTTATGATGTGTTCTGCAAACTGAAAAACATAAAGTTGTCGTATTGTAATGTACAGTTTCACGTTTACAGTTATACGTCATGTTATATTTTGAAAAGTTGCTGGGCACATCGGCTTCCCATTTCCCCGGCGCAGCCCCCGGAAACATTCTAATGTAAAGCCAAAAAATACATATAACTCAATTTTGGAAGTGAAATGAAATTAAAATTGCCATGTCCCCACCCCCTAAATACGCCAATGACCTAATGGTATCAGGTGTTCACAGTGGGGAGAATGTAACACGAGTCCTGATAAAAGGCGCGCCGCACTTCGTTCGGTAGAAAAAGAGCACGAGATATGGATCTGCATAAGATGAAGACACGATACGTTTGTTATATTTGCTACAGTATCGCTGATCCTGCATTGAACATCCCTATGAGAGTCTTTTTTTACCATAATTTTCTGGAAAAATTTTGCTGAGCAAATTCAAGCAATATGAATTAAAATATCATCTTTGAAATAATGATGAAGCATTATCAAGTACAGGTTCCGAAAGCAAATAGAAGAAAATTTGAATACAAATAAACATTTTGCCTGGAACGATTGTAAAATTACCGAAAAACACCCCGTGCTATGAAATAATTTTTCGATGGAAATACTCAGCAAAGTTTCTCTCGGAAAAAAAAATTACCTACCTACAAATAACATCTTTGGTCTCCAGTAGCGACCTCAATCAGACTAGCTAATGGAATAAAATTAATAGGCGAACTGTTTTAGTTATATCTAAATCAAACTCTATAGTATGAACTAATGTTTGTATTGTATTAAGAAATTAATGTTTTGTATCGAAAATAATGTATAGTAATTGTATAATGTTCTATCAAATGATTAAAGGAAGGTTTTTTTTAGTAATTTCGATTAAATATAGGTCATTTTTATACGCGTATATTACCATCACCCCCCTCGCAGCCCCGAAAGCAAGTTTTTGGGGCAGAAATCTCATAACTAGGTTAGAGATTCGGGTAATTTCTAATATCTTGCCTTCACACACCTGGGGCAATCACCTGGACCTTTCACACCCCCAAAAATTTGTTTCATCCTCATTTTCAGCATGTGATCAGGTGAGGTGTTCTCCCAATTCAAAACAAATTCTTCTCCTACACCAGTTGGCGACACCCAAGATACCCTAGTCCCACATCCCCAGGGGTGAAAACACCCCAAGTTGGAAACCAGGGGCCTAAGGGCTGAATATTACATACTGTACCGTCAAATAAAACGGTAAAAAAATTAACTGGGAAACTTGCAGGATTCCTAAATTCTGTTGTTTTCATCCGTAAGTTGTGATCAGATGCAAGCAATGGTTAACAATCCATTTATTCCCAGATTCTGACAAGCACAAGTACTCTATACACGCATAGTCTGTATCCTATTATCCATAGATAAATCGGTTTTTCACTTAACTATTCATGATATCACTTATTTACTCTTCTCGGGTTCCATTGGACCGCATGAAAAACATAACAATGATTTTTACATCTAGATTAATTCTATTTAGAAGTTAATTGCGCTTGGTATTGTCATTTCTTTCTTTTGTATACACATAATTATTGAGGGTTCCATTAGCGTGAAATAGAATTAAATAGGAAATCTTAAATTCGTGCTTATGTTATATGAAATTTATGAAATGGGTTGCAAGATTTGATATTTCCCGAGAGAAAATCATAGCTTAGCTCTGTCCAAAGTATGAGCCACGGTGGGTCAGTGTGTTAGACGTTTGGTCGCTCAGCTGACGGTCAAAGGGTTCAATTCCGGTATAATCCGCGTTCCTCTGCCAGTGATCAGTTCGGAGGGGCTGTCACGTGTTATAAGTTTGGAAGGAACAATAAACTGGCTTAATGTCCCACCTTGTACACTGGGATTAGCCCGAACAGGTGCAATAAAGTAGGACGTAATTTTATTTTATTAGTTTTTGTTGTGTAAAGCGCTCCTTAATTTCAACATGTAAAATGAAAGGATGATTATAACACAGGTCCATTCGCAGAGTGGCAGCAGGTGTTCTTGCTGATATAAAATACAAACATTAACAAACTAATTTATTTTCAAAATAACATTAAGACAAGAAGAACAATATAAATATAAAATTTAAAATATATATATTTATTTTTAAAATATACTTATGGTTGAAATCAAGTGATAGTTTAGTTATATCGGATAACCCACCATTAAGATCTTAAGACTAACTAGTTCAACTATTGTCAGAGCAAAGTAAAAAGTCTTGTGAATTTTTTCCATTATTTTTATGAGCATTGGAACAACAGCTTCAAAAAAGGACTGATAGTCTTTGTATGTCTTTGTGTTGATAAAAATATAAACATGAATTCACATTATGTCTTAAAAATTTGTTTTTACCGAGGACAATTTTCGCTTTTTACTTTGCTCAGACAATAGTTTCTTATACAGTGTGGGTATACTAAATAGATTTGTCATGTCTGAAGATCGAAAAGACAAATGTATATTTTAATATTTTTACATATTGAATCCTTTTCATGATAACTTTATCATAACAAATACGTATGAACACTTATCGTTTGATTTGCTGAATAACTCTTTTTTGAGTATGACGTAAAACTCAAAAATTCATAATACTATAAACGTTTAAAGGAAAATACAATTTGATAGTATTCTGAGATGCGGACATTTCGTTCGTTGTCTCGTGTTGAGGTTACGTACAATAACAATCTAAACTTCCGTACACAATAGGAGTACGACATTCCAAATATATTTCAAACTATTTTGAGATCTCAGAATATTTCTCCCTTTCTCCATTCACCAAATCTAAAATAAGAACATTTTACAAAATATGCTTAAATGTCTTTAAATTCACCAAGATTTATAGACGATGGCTATTACAGTATACTCTGCGTAAAAATAATGACGGATTAGCGAGAGTTTAAACGAAATAATAATAAAAAGTGTTGAAAATTGCGCTTAAGGGGCTCCGTATGTCGGAGTACTCAAAGTTTCGATATTTTTTAACATGTGCCACGTGTACTATATATAGCTCTAGATAATAAGGTAGTGTTTCAGTTATGATATCATTTTACTGATATCTGGCGGTATACTGATCAAATTTGCGTTATGTAAATTACTATGAGGATATCAAAAGGGTCTAAGCGGTGTGTCAATACAGTTGCACAGATATATCCTGAGACGAGCTCTTTCATCTAGTCTATCGTCTTTAGTGAAATCTATGAACATTAGCATACGACACTGACGTTGCCAGAAAACTTTTTATTTCTTACCTTTACACAATCACAAATTTTCTAGCACCCGTATTGCTTCCAGTAGAGGTAAACATTTGTTTGAGCATTTCTATAACTTGATTGGCTGGAATATTTCCGGCAGTTTGTGTAGTTACACTTGGCACTGATTGTGGTTGGGCAGCTTTATTAGCTTGTGGCTGTGGTGCCTGCACGGAGACTGGTTTTTGAACTGCGACGGGTTGTTGAGCAGCAACTGGTTGTTGAGCAGCAGCGATTTGCTGGGTAGCTCTGGTTCGTGAAGCAGCAACCATCTGTGGAGCAGACAACATCTGTGGAGCGGAAAGCATCTGTTGAGCACCCATAACTTGTTGAGCACCCATAACTTGTTGAGCACCCATAATTTGTGGAGCACCCACGATTTGTCGGGCGCGAATGATTTGTGGAGCATGAATGATTTGCGGAGATACTGCCATCTGAGAAGCAGACACATATTGGCCAGAGGGCGCAGTTTGAAGAAAAACGGTGTTACTGGGTATGCCGTTAACCAGTTGGTAAGGTTGAGCTCGTGCTTGAACTTGTGGTACTTGATAAACTGAAAAAAAGAATTGTTAAATTGTTGAATATTAAAATTAGTTTAAAGGAATGTATTTTATTAATAGATGCTTTACAGAGTTCACAAGAGAAATAGTTTGGATGGGTAGGCTTTGTCGCCACGTTAGCCTCTTAAACTGCATCATTGTCAAAGGAAACTTGCAATTGGTTCCGAAGGAGAATGCAAAAGACATATATACCGTTGAATTGGTTATTGTAATTCATTCCACGGGGTCTCTGAGTAGCTCCGAAACCAACTTTTTGATTTCCAAGTGCAGACTGTGCCATTGAACCCATTGAACCTCTTCTCTCCATGGCATCAGAAATCATATCGCTTCTAGTATCCATGAATTCGCCTATTTCAGTCATTCCAGCTGCTCTACCCATCCCGAATTGTTGCATACCAAATCTCTGCTGTCTCTGTGGAAATTGTCGTCCATTGAAAACTGAAAAGATGTCCCTTTTATATAATAAAAGCCATGGATTTATATGAGGACCAATTATGATTTTGAAAGTCATAAAAGTCAATTATATATGTGGGTAGACCATTTAATGTGGACCTTACAGGACTTTAATTAATTACATTACGGCAAATTAGGCAAATGCCTCAAAAATGAACTTTGGCTAAAAAAAATATATATATATAATATCCGCTGCTAGATACATCGCTTATTTGATGTCTACGGTAAAGGTAGTTACCGCTTGAAAAAGCGTGAAAAAAAGACCTCACTGGCTTGACATAGCCCAGCATGGTATCACAATACAATCGAGGGATAGGCTTAACTTATGGAGTTGTACGAAGGAGGGAAAAGACTACCACTTGTATTGTGGTTACTTGTTGAGCACAGAGATTTTCGAGAAAACCCGGCAATGACTTGGATTCGACTCGATAATGGCGACTAAGCGTTTCGGTGGATTAATTTCATTAAAATCATCATTTAATTACCCTGAGACAGCACTGGAGCAATCAAAGCCATACACATAACTAGCTTTAATCCGGCCATCTACAAATACAGAAAATAAATTTACTAATTTATCAAACATGCAATACTAACATATGCATTCTGTTAATATATAACCAATGAATGAATATTAAATAAATCAGATTTTGTCTTCTATTAAGACATAATATGAAGTATATCTGCTTAAATTGTAGAGCATTTTTCATCTGATATGACAAAATAATGTAAGAGTGCTTCAAGGTCGACAGTTTATAAATTTCGATTAGAAAAAGCTTTAGAAATACATTGCCTTACTTCAAAAACATAACATGAAAACTGCGAAATGAAAATATCCACGGACAATAAATATTTAACAAAAGTACACTTTAGCTTTCTGGTCAAATGCAAATAATTGTCAATATCAGCTATATTATGAATATGAACATAGTATAAACTTTATCAAGTAACTTTAACTAATCGCGGATAAGTGAACTATATTTTTGGGTCATATTTTGTACAATAATTTTGGCGATGATGCCAAACTTGGTTTTAAGTGAGTTAAGGGATGAAAAGGTTTGATTCATTTGACGACAATTTGAAGACAATTAAAATCTTTCAGCCAACTGTTTCCATTGGGTGATATTTATGTTGAACAAGCTGCTTAAATTACAGAAAACACAACGTCGTTTCCGGAAATATTATTTTGCCCTGCTCTTGATAGTCAAATGAATTCTTACCTTAATCTTTATTCGAAGCCGTCTTCTTGAAATTTAGGGAATGATGTGAAGAATGTATTCTCAGGGCAACTTAATTTATAGGGACCCATTAACTTTCATTAAATCATCTTCGTGGACAGAAACATTGAAGCCGAACACGCATTGACGGTATTATATTTCAACATTGGTTTGACGAAGATGAGCATATTCAAACACGTCAAAAATAGTTAATAAGTTAAAGATTTAAGTGACTGTTAACAAGCTTTTGATTTACGCTGACAATAGCTTTCTAAATCAGGCCGCGGACAATGTTCATTCTATTGTTTCAAAATGACATTACATCGAGATTTGACAACATTTGCAAATGCAACGAGGATCTTATGTCATTGAACACAGAGTTTGAGAGACTTACGAGTCGTAATAAATTGAACACCTGAAAAGGAAATGGCAACGCAATATGTCCCAATTGATAATTTTCCTTTCATTGACAGCTATATTCCTCAATCACCATCCTATGGTGTGTACTTGTCTCTATGTTCGATCATGCCTCTTAAAATGAACATAGAAAATTTTCAAACTAAGCCATACGTATTTATTCATAAGTGGACTTTCTAAATAACAGAATCCCTCTGTAATTTGATAAATATATAAAAAGAAGTAATTATCCATAAAATTTCAAGCAGTTAAAAAAAGTCGGTTATTTTTTTAGCGTTTTCAATAATTACTTACTTCTATAGTTCAATCGGAGCATACAAGCATTGTTTTGTAAAGTTACGATACCAGCCAAGTTTAATGATAATATATACTCTTCTTTACAAATTTTTTTGTCCATTCTGAGAGATAGTATTCCTTTATCCTTCTATAAAATGGTTGTTTCTTTCTTTTAAAATGCCAAATGTTTTTTGTAAAACATAACACATTTATTTGAAATACTACACATTTTTTTAAACATTAAACATGTTTTAAAAAATATCCAACATAAGATCAGTAATATCATGGATCAATATCATGGATATACTACTTCTTAAAAAAATAATATAAAATAATTAATATTTTTAGTATTTTAAAGAAATAATTAATATCTGGGGAAGCTCAAATACGACATGTTTTTGAATTTTTTGAATTTCGAATTTGAAAAAATACTTTTGAATTTGTAAAAATAGTAATTCAAAAACATGTCGTTTTTGAGCTTCTGTAAATATCTTATATTTGATATAAATATTTCAAAGAAATGTTGATTATTTCAAAGAAATGGTTAATATTTTCAAATCATGCTTGATATTTGTTGAAGAATATTTTTGAATAATATGCTGAAGAAGTAATGTTTATTATTTTAATGTATTTTCAAGAAATGTTTAGTATCGCAAATGTACATGTACAATAATGTCTTGCCTAGCCCAGTTTATAACAGTAAAATATGATGTGAAATTCCAGTTCATATTTTTTACATCTTAGTTTTATTTTATAATATAAATATTACAAAACATGTGCCTGCAAATAATAATTATCTTTAGAAAATGGCGGGAAATGGAAAATTTAACTTGTACTTCAGTTTAAAGTTGTAGTTAGATCAAATAAACTGGATTTATCAAAACTATGGTAACAAGATCAAATTTATAGACTATTAATTTTGGCTGCATGACAACATGCTTTGATTCACCGAAAGTAATAATCCATCATCCAGTAACACATCACTTATCATTATTAAATGCGGGTCTGTCACGATGACGTAATAAACATATAATAAACAGGTCTTTACTATGGTCGACATTGTCGTAAATTAATGAGAATCAATTCTGAGCTACTGCCCTATAAAAGGTTATTAAAGCCTGACTACAGAACAGAAAGATACTGTTACAGATGTCGGCAAGGTAAGTTCCAAATGGATTATCTTATTAGAACTAGTTTATATTTTCAGTGTGTATTCAGTAGGGATATCATGCATTATAGGCCTATTCACCGTGTAATGTCAACCAAATCGTGCCGCCTAAAAATCCTTTTTGATTTGTTGATAAAATAATTACCTATAGGTTATGCATATATAAGGCGTTTACTACACATGGTTGTCAATATACCTTTAAAACTATAAAATGGCCCAAATGGGTGTCACAAATACATTTCGATGGAGTTGACGCGCACGGAATAACTGTTAGTGCTTGTAAGGAAACAATTTTTAAATTCATAGAATGAAAAGGATTGGGTTAAGTTCTGCGGCTATACAATATTACAATTTCGTATCTCTTGCGTTTTTTGATATTTTAAGTCTCCATGGTAATCATGACGTTTTCTACATTTTCTCTACGGTTCGTCACATTCCGTGATTAAACTTGAAACGTTCTGAAAATCAAGGGCAATAACTCGCATGACACCCATCATGATATGATACGTAATGAATCTTAAAACTTTTTTTATTTCTCATTATATTTTCTTTTTATTATTTTTTCAAGATGGTGAAACACAAGAATTTGTCATCATGTGCCTGTGTATTTGTTTTCTTGTCAAACGTTATACTGGCAATACAACAAGGTAGATAACCCATTATTAGTTATACTATAAAGACTACTGCTATTGAAAGCGCGTATGAACATAGAAAAGCGGGGTAGGTAGGGGGTGAAGTTCCTTATTATGAGAAACTGTAAAATCTAAACCTTTAATGTGATCTTTATCAACTGAAATAGCTCAAGTCAATTCAAACTCAAAAGTTCAATTGAAAATCAGGTAAATCTACAATTGAATATGTTGAAGATAGTTGAGTGGATTCAGTATAAAATACCCCCACTTTGTGACACGCTGGTCACACTACATTTCAAAACATTCGAAACTCTTACGTAAACGGCAAATTGAACTTTTCAATAGTTTTAGTTTTCAGAACTTAGGGTCATAACTTTATAATCACCGGAAAAATAACTCAAATTCGAATTTTATACATTCTGGGAGAAACGATAGGCTAAGCTTGATGCAAAATTGCAAAATCTTATTTCGGAGACGCGGGTTTTAGTCCTCTGATTCTGTTCAATAAGAAATAATTTTTCATTTCAGGAATTCAGCAACCAAATAATGCCCCAACACAACCCTCAACCCAACCAGGCTTTGTCCGTCACGCAGGGTATGCACCTTCACCATACCCACATCACATGCCTCTTCCATATGGCATGCAACCCAATCCTTACATGATGCCTATGATGGACCCTGATTATCTCGATCATCGTATGGACATGGCCAAAGACATGGCAAAACAAAGATATGCCATGAACATGTACCGACAGTCATATCCACGTAAGTTACATTAGATTAATAGGTCATATGTATAAGTTACAGTTGTTATTATTCGCACCATTTAGCTTCTAATACAAAAAAATAACCTCCATTTTAATACCATAAATTTTATGTTATTCAGCAATGGGAATGTATCCTGGGTATCCTTATCAACAATCAAGGTCATTTGGCCCAGGACATCATTCAGCGCCCATGAGTACTGCTGGTGGACGCCATGGCTCCAGTCCTAGAGCTACTCAGTCTACACAGAATACACAACCCACTTCAGGGCCAAAAAGACTTTCAAGTAAGTCAAATGATTTTCTTTATTATTATTATTATACTGGGCAAAAAATGAAATGAATGTCCTACTTTTCTGTAGTATAATGCGCAAACAAGCATCGGGAAATTGTGAGTGAATTTAGCTTTAAGAACTGTTGGATGATCATAAATACCACTAAACACAACTCTATGAATTAGTATTGAAATTGCACCCGAATGTTTTTTACAACTACGTCGGTAACCCTGCAAGATAAAATTCAGGAGCTATTTTCTCTTCTCTGAAATAGAAAACAAAATATTTCATTTAGTAATATCGTACCGAAGGTCATTTCCTCTTCAATGATAGTGATAGATTCTAGGCGAAGCTGGAGGCTATGATGACTGGCCTACTGGTCGTAGTATTTTCTTCAACAAAGCTTTAGAAAAGTGCCTTCGAGCCAAATTGGACACGGTCGGAAATATGTCTTTGCTTGTTTTTCTGTCTTTTGAATACAAAATATAAGTCATAATTTTGTATGTCGTCTAAATTATTTTTTTTATAACCTTTCAATTGTTTAGGGAAGAAGAGATTTGTTCCTATGATGCCAGTTCCTTTTGCACCATTTGGAGGTAAATTAGTTGGTGTTTTTTATAGTTTATCATATTGAATGTAGTTAGAAAATAGTAAAATAGCATTTTAAAAATATATTCGGTACTTGATTTCTCTTTTCCCAGACACTTAAGTATCTATTTTAATCGAAATCCGGTGTTGCATTTGACATTTGATATTTGGAAACTCACATCATATTACATTCAATATGTAATCAATCTATTTAAAACTCTTGTTTTCAGGATTTGCCCCAATGTTGGGTGTACTTAGAGGTGCAGCTGTCGCTGGAAACATGGCTATGGTGCATAGAGTAGGTCGAATGAGAGCATTAGCTGCTAGAAGAAACAGAAACGGATTTAATCAAAATAGTAGAACACGAGGAAGTCAGTCTACTGTGTCCCGCTTTAATCCACAATCTAACCGACCTATGGATAGCAGTTTTAACGCGATCGATAATGCCGTTGCTCGGTCAACCGGTGCTCAACCAACCGTCGTGCAGCAATTAGTTCCCCAACCGCTATCACAGCCATTTATGACACAGAACATTATTTCACAACCTGGTCAGCAGGTCATATCTGACCCTATCTTGTCTCAACCGGCCTTGACCCAAAACATAGTGGTCGACCAACCAAGCATCGTTGATCCTTCGGGCTTAGGTGGACAGCAACAGATCATAGTAGACAACGGTCTAGGTGGACAACAACAGGCTATTGTTGATAATGGGTTAACCATGCAGCCACAAGTTATAGTCGATCCCAGAGTTGTCGGGCAGCAACAAGTTGCTATTGACAATACATTAGCCGGGCAGCAACAGCAAATATTAGATCAACAAGCTGTTAACGAACAACTTGCTGCTCAAACAGCTTCCAATAAACAATTAGATGCTGCACTACAGCTGCAAATGGATGTTCAACAAGCTATTAATCAACAAACAAGTCAACTAGCTGGTTCACAACTTGCCTCACAAAATGCTCAACAATTGTATAATAGCGTAGGTCAACAAATAGATCTTCAACAGGCCAATAACCAACAGTCGTCACCACAGGTAGCCTTTGATGTTTTAAACGGACAACAGAGTATCGCCAATCAGCCTCAGTCATCTCAACAAATATTCAATCTCCAACCGAATATAAACCAACAGGCTTTGGATCAACAAGCCTTGGATCAACAGATCGTGAACCAACAGCCTTTGAACCAACAGACTTTTAGCCAACCGGCTTTGAATCCACAACCTTTTAACCATCCGGTTTTGAACTCACAGGCTTTAGATCAACTAGCATTGAATCAACAGAACATAAACCAACAGGCTCTGGATCAACAAGCCTTGAATCAACAGATCTTGAACCAACAACCTTTGAACCAACAAGTTTTTAGCCAACCAGCTTTGAATTCACAGGCTTTGGATCAACAGGCCTTGAATCAACAGATCTTGAACCAACCGGCTTTGAATCTACAGGTTTTTAACCAACCGACTTTGAACCAACAGGCTTTGGATCAGCAAGCCTTAAATCAACAGATCTTGAACCAACCGGCTTTGAATCAACAGGTTTTTAACCAACCGACTCTGAACCAACAGGCTTTAGATCAACAAGCCCTAAATCAACAGATAATGAACCAACAAGCTTTTGATCGACATGCTTTAAATCAACAGAGCATGAACCAACAGGCTTTTAACCAACCAGCTTTAAACCAACAGGCTTTTAACCAACCGACTTTGAATCAGGGTTTGGATCAACAAGCCTTGAATCAACAGAGCATGAACCAACAGGTTTTGGAACAACAAACATTGAATCAACAGATCTTGAATCAACAGGCTTTCAACCAACCGGCTTTGGATCAACAACTCCTGAATCAACAGATCTTGAACCAACAGGCTTTGAACCAACCGGCTTTTGATCAACAAGCCTTGAATCAACAGATCTTAAGCCAACCGGCTTTAGGAACCCAGCCTTTCGATGTAAGCCAATCCATCTCAGGTCAGCAGCAATCTCAAATTTCTAATGCACAACAGTCAGTATCTAATCCAATGGATGGCATGAACATTCAAATCCAAAATGTTATGGCCGATCTTGCAGCCTCTCAGACATCAGCACTGAGCTCTTCTCAAAGTAACGCTGTTGACGTGGGAAGTGCAGTAGTACAACCACAACAACCATCGAACCAGCAGCTTTTGATACAGCAACCAGGTCAACAAGCTGCAGGACTTTCCTCGTTAGCATTCCCTGAGTTGCTTAGTTTCAATGACCCAAGTGCTAGCAACATAGCTAATACTCTTCAACTACGTCAAGCTCAGGCTGCCGAACCTGTAACTACAAAAATAGCTGCTGGTGGTCATGGTGGTGGTGGTGGTGGTGGTCCACCTCAACCTCCGACTTATCCAAGTCAAACTGGCCAACAAGCTAATTTAGCTACTCTCGACTTAATAGCTAATTTAGCATCATTAAATCAACGAGGTATGATTCCAAAACATCAAGGTCGACCTTTTAATTTATAACGTTAGTATATGAAATCTGGACAATGTTCATACTAAAAGTTTATCTCTATTACTCTTAGTATATTTTGATCTTTATCCAATATGAACGTCTGGTGCAGGGTATGTAGACGTGTTCGTGTGGGTTTCAAGAACTTTGTGAAAAACGTAACGAGTCAGTGGCGAATTATATGATATAAGTATTGGGAGATCCTGCTGTTTTAAATACTATGCTTCCTTACAAAGGTGTAATTTAATGAGACACTTTAGAATATGTATCGGAAAAAGATAAGATATAAATTAACTTAGAAAGAAAATTTATAAAATGTTATATAATATATGAATTGATATAGTTTATGGTTGTTTAATTATGAAGAGAATTTATGTATGAAATAAAGTCATTATGTTTGATAAGTTTGAATGATTACTTTTCTTGTGAGACACAGTTGAAAGCCAGAAACTACAATATTCTAAACAGCCCAGTCACTGGACTAACATTAAATAGATATGAGTCGATAAATGACTTTTACGTCCTACTGTTCTTGATATGATTGGTCCATTAATGAAGGGCAACTCCCTGTAGTGTTTAACATTTTGGGGGTTCTGCTGAATATCGATGGCATGTGAAAACACGACTCAAGAAGATGGATGTCTGGCAAACAATGTTTAATTTCCCTAAAATTGACATGCGCAGAGTTTGACAAGTATTTCCCAAACACGTGAACAGAGATACAATATAAAGGGACTGAAAAGGTGTAGTATCTGATAAAACATGTGCATGTATAACTCCTGCGTTTTTAAATGAAGTATTAATAAAGTATTTAAACTGTTCGTAATTAGTGTTCATAAATCATAGGTCTAGTTTTTCTGGTGGTCTACGTGGTCGATCTTGATATCGACGTTCTATCACTGGAACTGCAGGATGGCGGTCCTTGATTCCCGTAAGGAAGTTGTGCTAACGGATCATCGTCTCCTGGTTGAAAAAGGCTCTTCGTTGGGTTCAGGAATGTATGGTAATAGTTGACAAGAATCATTATCAAACTTAATGATATGTTCTATATGAACGTATCGACCTTTCCCCGTAGCTCGGACTAAATACGTTCTTAGGCTTTGATTTTTCTCCCTTTTACCCATTTCTCTTCCCACCCTCTAAAATTCCGAATTTTGACTATTTCGTTTTCTCCCAAGTTTATATCATGCTATGCCTTCTGCTTCTGTTATTTATTTTGCATGAACTGGGCTGGGTCTGGCTTTAATAATAAAAGCCTAGTCCCGAGTTTGCGCCATAAAATCAATTCAGCTGGAAGCATTCCGGTTGCAGTATGAGGAGTAGAGCGGTAACGGAAGGAATTCTGCTAACTGAAGGCCCATGGTCAGATTTGTCTGTTATTGTAACGTTTGTTACAGTAACGAGTCTCTCTGGAACTGGAATGAGCGTTCTGCAGCCCCATTGTTTGTCCTTTTCTGAAAAATTCACAGGAATACCTTCCCATACTCTGGTTGGCCACTTCCAGGGTATTAAAAGTGCTTTCAGTGGTATTTTTCTTATCGACTGACAAGACTTTACTCGCCATCATAAGTAACATCTCGCCGATTTCATTCTAAATTCTACGGATGTTGAATGGAGTTCTGATTTCTGAATTTACTAGGGACTACTACACATAAACTCCACAGGATACACCCCTGTCCCATAGAAAGTTCATTCTGTCTCGATTCCAAAGTTCGATCGGTTGTGTAATTTAACCATCCATTCATAATATAAGTCCACACTCTCGACATTAATGGATCCTTATCAGTAACTGGAGGATCGTTCAGATACGTGAAATGGAAAATGTTCAATTCTTCAGACTCCGTTTCTAAATTCAAAAGTAAACGTGGAATCGCGTCTGCATTACTGTGGTCTGTCGATTGTCTATACTGAATCTCATACTGGAAACTTGCCAATATTAAAGCCCACCTTTGTAAGTGCGCAGCCGTACATCTGCTTTGGAAATAGCTGTGAGAGGTTTGTGGTCGGTCTCCAAAATTAGCTTTTTACCATAGAGATATTTATGGAACTTTTTGACACAAAATATCAAGGATATTGCCACCTTCTCTCGTAATTTGTCTCACTGGGGGCAAGCGTTCTTGATGCGAAAGCTATCGGTCGTTTAGTCACATCATCCATCACGTGTGAAACAACAGCATTTAGTCCATAATTTGAATCATCACAGGCTAATTTGATGGGTTTGTTGACTTCGTAGTGAACCAGCAAACCTTCACTGCTAAGTAACTCCTTAAATTTAAGAAAAAACTTTTCAAAATCTACATCTAAGAGACGTCGGGGCGCTCGGATGCACCAACCCAAATCAAACGCTCGTAATCCCAAACGACCAGCCACTGATAATTGAACTTCGGTAAATAATAAACGCCATTTGTAATATCTATTTCAAAGTGTTGTGGATCAAATATAGGATACTAACACACTTAATTCATGGCCGATGATCGTCGTTTTTCAGTACACAAAATTAGACCCCGAAGTCAGTCACAAATGAAATTGTAGATTGTGACTGACTTTTGTAACTAGTTGAAAAATGCAGTTTGACCAGTTGAAAAAAATGTGGCTGATGTGCTATTCAGTTATTAACTATATATAATCTTATGTAGAACATACTTGAATGTATTCACCTACCTGTTCAGTGAAGAAACCTTTAAAGAAGATATATATGCATTTAATTTATGATACAAAATGGCACCAATAGTCTATAACTACATATTCCATCCATGATTATTGATTCAAAATGAGTAAAAGACACCATCTCTTTACGACCCTTAAACTAAACTTTCCAGAAAGCTATGCTAAAAAAAGGTTTTAGTAGTGAGCACCATGTTTTATTTCAACTGGGCTTTATTGTGATGATTTCAGGGCCTACACAAATGTTTCATAGGATATAATTGTTTTCTACTGAAGTAGTTGTGCCATATATAGACCATAGGAAAAACTTTTTTTTCCAAAACTGTTGCTTTTGGGTATACAATTAAACATTTGCTATCTCTTGCCAATTGCGACACAAAACTATCTAAAAACTATTGGCTTCAATTTGAGATCTCGTCTCGCATATTCTTTTTGGAAAACCTATTCTTAATCTAATGATATGCAGATCATCCTTTTTGGCTCTTACAATACATAAAAAGAAAAAGAAAAACATAATAACTATATGGGTCTCCCAGCGTTCTATAGCGGAATCTCATTTAATCATATTCATATATTCATCGAATACTATATATAATATTCTCAGGATTTGTTCTCAGAATTATCATCCAGAAGATCGTATTAAATATAGTCTAGCTCGCTGGTTTCTAACTTTCTAACCACATTTGCAGATACGAGTTGTATCTCTTTACCACAAGCTTGGAATACTCGAGAATGTTTTGAAATATTAGATTGGGTTAAGAGGGGCCCCATAACGTATCGTTTTCTGTTTTTTTAGAGACAATACCTTTTATTTTCACACCAAGCACCCTGGATGATATCTGAATCTTGAAGGCACGAGTTTCGTCCCTTATTTCATTATTTTTTTATTTCTTGCAAATGATCCCTTGTCGGTTTATAAGTTAGATAAAACGCGACGGAAGGTAAACAAAACTAATAACTACTGCGTGTTTTATCTCATGCATAATTATCAAGCATGACCCAATGCCTTGATTGACAGCGACCTTGCATTCATTTACGGTCATTTTCACAATAAAACAAAGGGTCATCAGTATGTTAGGTCATAGTAACACGACATACCCGACCGCCAACATAATTATGTAAGAAACAGTGAGAAATATGGATGGATATAGAATTATGATTAAGTTAGCTGTCATAGTAAACAATTTGATGACAATTATATTGACAAGTGACACCTCGTAGGATAATAACTTAATGTATGTGCTGCAATCATCCATCCCTCATTATTAATCCTATATATATATGTAAAGAATTTTTAACGGGCCAAATTTTAATTTGGAATGTACTTCTGAAGTGTAAGTTAAAATTTTGGAAAGCCGCTTTGTTAAACAAAAATTATCAGAAAGTGTGTAATCTGACTGTTTTTTAGGTATGAAGTTTGGGCTTTTATTATCTTTAAACTTTTGGTCATAGGTCAGTTCAAATTTATCCCGTGCTCATTCTTCAGGTTAGAATTTTTGACGGATTGATATTATTTTTGGTATGTGTACACATTATAATGCAAGAATGATGCTATTGAGTTTGGACTTTTGTGTGTTTGTCGGAATTTTTGTTTTTGTATGTTCATTATAAGGAAAGGGTGAAGCTAGGGATAAAGGTAAAAGTGCATTTTCAAAGATTTTCAGTCTTGGACAGTAAATGTGACAACTTGAAGGTCCCCATTCTGTTCTCAGTATGGATTTTTTTGTTTTGTTTCCAGGTTGATTCTTATCTTATTTTTATTATAATTTTACAATTTTTCACACATTTACTGATCGTCCGAAAGTACCATGTATCTCATCCTCAAACATAAGCAATGCCTTTTTAAATTTATCTTAGTGTTAATATGTTGATAGGCATACCAAGGTAATGATCACCCTTATTGAATTTGAAAACATAAATCAGAAATACCTTTCTTGGCACGAAAGGGCCGAGCTTGAAATGTTAGGACTTCTATTCATGAGATCTTTCTTTTGATAAATGGTGTTGACGGTGATGGACTCACTCGCTCCATTTTATCATATTGATTAGGGGTCTCGTGTCTTTTAAGATTTTTCTTGTCATGACTTTTCTGATCAATTGCTTACTCTGAACTGTCAAAATATAAAATATTTTTATCAGTTACCTCCCTTGAACTATTGAAATCAGTTACTGTTTTTTGTGCCTTCTGTTTGTCGTGTTTATTGTGCATGTTGAGCAACAATGACGGATGTAGCGCCAGGCAGCGTATGCTAACTCTTCTAGACACCTGATACCACTTTTCATTACGATGTACTTAGGGTCTATAAACTTATGATTGATATACTTCTTGAAGAGTTCATTCGCTGCTACCAATGTTTTGCCATTATGTTGTTTTCGATTTTGGGTTTCGTTTTGCGGTTAGTACTTGAAAATATACAAGGAAATATTTTCTTGAGTTGTTTTGATATTGTCTTGTGTTGAGTTGTTTTGATATTGTCTTGTGTTGAGTTGTTTTGATATTGTCTTGTGTTGAGTTGTTTTTTGAGTTGTTTTGATATTGTCTTGTGTTGAGTTGTTTTGATATTGTCTTGTGTTGAGTTGTTTTGATATTGTCTTGTGTTGAGTTGATTTGATATTGTCTTGTGTTTATTTACAGCTGTGAAAATGGGGTGTCTATACATTCTCTTTATGGTTACCATACAGTTGGCTGTAGCTAGTTATTGTAAGTACACTTTACCGATTACAATTAACCCTGTTTTACCAAATATACGTTCTGAGATGGAAGTAGCATGCAAAAATGGTCTCCGTTCATTCAGATAGAACATAACACCGAGACAATGCATCACTATGCAACAAAATGTGTCTAAAAAGATGGATCCTCAACAATATATTAAGATATATTAAGTTTAATATGCATTCTGTTTCTTATCTGTTTTAAATATTCGACGGAAAATTCGATCCTTGGGCAGCGTATTGATTGTGAAGTCTAGCGATTTCGTGTGGATGAGGCATTTTTACTGTGCTCACTCTACAATATTGATAGCTTACCTCAATTTCCTAACAGAAAGTTATTGACAGGCTCAGATCTTAACATTTGCCAATGGTGTTTTTCAGATAATCCTTCAGAATTGAGCCGGCTAGCAGCTTATTATAGTATGTATCATTATTTACTTCTAGGTCTTAATTCATATACAAACTAGGAATCGCCCAGCTTTTCTAGTGTTTATAGTTTTTTAACCAAAAAGCCAACCGGCATCAGTACTGATATACTGGCATATCTACTTCAAATCGAACCTTTGCCCATGTGTGTCGAAAGAAAATTTGAAGATTTTCATTTTCGTTTATTGCCGACTTAATGAACATAATGAAAATGAGAAAATACTGATGTGGATGGGGGAAACCGCTGAATGAAACACCATATTGTACCATTGTTGCCACACCAAGAAATTCCATTATTTCACCTCCACTAAATCCCCTATTTGCTTTACATCATTTCTCAGTTTCAACAATACGCAGATATTGTATTTTTTTCTAAACAATATTCACATCATTATGACTCCTCTTCCAATATATAGATAATGTTGGCTTGTTTGGTAAAGTGAAAGGTTAGATATAAAATACTAGTATAGGTTTTTGTAGTTCATTTTGATAATGTGTTTTAGATTTTAGTCAGACTTCACAAGTCTTTTATTTGTCATTACAGGTATGTACGATATTGATATGCCTGAAGGTTTAGAGATGCAATTGGCAGCTGCAATGAGTGGTAGAAACCAAGGCTATCAACAACAAAGACAACTTTATAGTCAGCAATATTATCAGCAGAAACCAACTACTCGCAGTCAATATAACCGACAACCAGTATCTCGATATCCAAACAACCAGCAATATCGAAATACTAACAACCAACAATATCGAAATGCAAATAACCAACAATATCGAAATACATATAACCAGCAGTATCAAAATACATATAACCAGCAGTATCGGAATACGTATAACCAACAATACCCAAGTAATCAACAATACCGAAACACTAACCAACAATACCGAAATACTAATAACCATCAATACCATAATCAACAACGTCAACAATATGCAAATCCCAACAGCCTATATCACAATCCCAGTAACCAATATCCTAGATCTCGACAGCAATCTAAGGATGTCCAACGACGTGGTGATGCTGGTATCAATTATCAAAGTTATACTACAGAAAGTAATATACCAACAACAACCGAGACAGTTCCACAATTTGAAACATCGACACCTCTTCCACTCAGAGAACAACGAACAACACCTGGTACACTCTCCGCTGTCGGGTCTGTGCAAGCAAAACCGGCACGAAACAATAATCCAGCACAGAGTGCAAACCTCCAACACCCAAAGGCTCATCAGAAACCTAGTGCTAAGCCGTATCACTGGCCGAACTACAGACGTAATTATCAACAAAGAACAACTTCACCTTATAACAACTACCAGAGAACACATCATTATCAACAAGCAAACCAAAATTATTATCGTGGAACGAGCAATAGAAATCAAAACAATTACCAATCGCAGAATTACAATAGATATAACCAAAATAATCATATTACTGGATATCCCTCGTCTAATTTTCTCCCATATATGGCAGGTGCTGATGTGTTTGACATTACTAAATAGACATTTGGTGGAAGATGTTACCGTTATACCAGTTACCAATTGTATCAAAAACAATACAAAACGCAATTCCTCAACTTCAATACCGATACATTTTCAGCTATTTTAAATGCATCAATGTCATATAATTAATATATCATACAGTGATGTCCAAATGGTTTAATTTCAAATTCATTCCAAATTGAAATCTTTGCTAAACGATACACTAGGACTGTGTCATTATTATTCCTTATTGCGTATTACATGAGTTATGGGAAGAATTACTTGTTACATGCATGTAAATAAATTTAGCTTTTTAGGGCTAAAATGTTATATATATATGTAAAGTTCTTTATGTGCGTTTCGTAACAATAAGCGAGGAGAATTTTTTGAAGGATTTGCAAATTTGCAAATAGATTAATTCATTAAACAGCCTGTGATATGGCATGATGAAGTAAGACAGATATACTGGTTGTAGAATGTAAACGTATTGCCTGTCAATAAACTTAGGTCCCCGTTAATCATAAAAATGTCAGGCGTGATTGATCAGATGCTCGGATTAATTTCAGTATTATTAATGTGTCTATGTTACAACGTATCAATATGTCATAGTTTGTTACAAGAAAATAATCGAAACATCTTGTCATTGCATTCGACATCGTCGTTATGTTACTGGATAGTAGGGTATTATGTTAAATAAATTCAATGTAGAGTTGAAATATTATCTTATGTTTACTTATTACTATGATATTTTTAAATCAAAGTATGATATTTATGTTATTTTGTATTCTAATTTTATTAAATTAATATATGTTGAGTAGTGTTACCGTCCTCCATAACACAGACCAAAGCGTCACAAATCATATGATAGAGAGTAACACGGAAGAAAACTATAAATGAACTTGCCATCGTATTGAAAAAAAAATCACACTTCTCCTTCTTCCTTTGGCCAGTGATTAGAAAAATATTAAAGGTTACTGTAAAACATTACAAAAAAGGCTTTGTTCTTTGATATTCTTCTATATAAACGTCAGATTACATGAAAGGAAACTTTGGTCGACCCTGCTACTGCCAGAGATCTAATGGATTTAAATAAATGTCAGCAACTGGCGGCATCTTGGAGAATCTGTCCAGTCACTGGATAAAGTCAACCTGAAATCACAGGCGACAGAAAAATCAAATTTGCTTTCACTGGCTCACGTTCTATTTTTCAGCAAAACCAAATGAGTCCGAGTCTTAATAAAATAAAGTAAAATTTGACTTGGAATTGTGATGCATGTGTAGGTAGTATAAGTTTAAGAATCATTTTACTGCACTTGCATTTCAGGTCTTGGTGACATTTGGGTCATACAATGTAGGTTTAAAATGTAACCAAAAACACCACCACAAGTAATATAAGTTGTTATCAAAGTATGTTCAACAAGCAAGGATTATGGGCGGAAAACCAATATATCATTTGAGTTTACCATTGTTAAATGTTTAAGCAGGAAAAGCCTATGTATTGTTGGGGATTTTTTTAAAAAGGGCCATTGAAATCAGCTAATGTTTAATACTATCGTACACGATGTATTCAATGGTCAAGTACATGTTTTATGTTAAGATAGAAGTAAAGATTAGAAAAGAAGTAGTCGCTAATTAACTAGAGACGCTAGGCAAGCATGTACAGTAGCAAGTGAACATGTACAAAATTACAAGTGTGCAGCAGTTACTTAATAAGAAACGCTTACAAGGCATGTACAGTAGCAACAGTATCTGTACATGTACAAAATGATAATGACACTGACCAAATATGAACAGGAAATTGCTTACAACAAGGTATATATCTGATTCGATCTACATGATATAATGTACACATCTTTCCTGTACATTTAATGCTTTGTTTACATATTGATCAAAGTATACAGCAGACATAGTCATATGCTAAAATGGATGCGTATGTTTCAATGAATATATTCCAAGAAAAAGTTTGCAGTCATCATGTGAAAAATGCTATACCTTGAGAGATCAATAACGCAATACAATCTCTAGATTTCCTTTTTGTATAACAGATTCAATTGTGTATTATATTCAGACACAATGCACCCACTGCACATACAATATGTACACGCGCAAGATCTATTACGTTGTATATTTTCCACAAGACGTTAAATATCCTTTATAAAAGTAACTATTTGTGTATTGAGCATATTGCAATTCAGATTTCAAAGAAGTTATTGCTCACGTATGTTTATGTTTTACAAGCCATTAAACAAGCGATACTAAAAGGAAGACAACGGCAATAGTTAATAAAATGGTAACCCCGACACATAACTTTACACCAGCTGGTGATTTTCTTGCGGCCTGAAAAAGGAAAGAATATCTATACAGTTAAACTGATATTATATCAAACAATTATAATCTTAAATGTAAACCTAAAGTTTTGGAAGGGTAGCACCCCAACCCAAACTGTGATATGATCAGATTAGCAATATGTTAATGCGTCTTCACATCTTAGCAATTACTAGTTGCGCATAGTTGCGGATATTGAAAGTGGGCATCAATTCCGAACGCAACTCAGTTATTCTTATTTGCAACCATACACAACAGTTGGTTTAAGGGCCCCTACGCATGTCACACGAAGTTGAACCATTACCGCAATGGTATACTTAGGGCATATCTCTTCTGATACATCTCTACTAAACAGAAATCATTTATCGATGACAGTGGATTTTCTGTTAATCGCCACTGTTCTGCAAGAGAAAAATAACGTACCTTTTTACTGTCAATAGGCTTCACTTGAACTTTGCCCTCTTTCCACACATATTTGACATCATTCATTGAGTCTTTATACACTAGACTACAGTTTTTATATGTATATGGAGTTCCCGGAACCGGAGGTCCAGTTCCTATCCGACTCAATAACACATAATCACTAGAATAACTCCTTGTATCTTCGTCCGTGATTTGGTCATTGCCCTTTAACCTTGCTTCTGTCATTTCACTCGCCATGGCTTCAGATCCCACCGTTTTGTCCGAGGTAGGAACTAAATGGTAACCATCATGTCTAGAAAACTGAGGATTCGAATCTGAGGACTTCTCTAAAAGAGGATGTTCTGGTCCCTCCATGTGTATACATGTTGCATCACTATCTCTTGTGTTGTCTAAAGTTGTATGGATACAACCTTCGTCACAATCGCTTTTTGAATAACGGACACTACCTTGTTTCAACGCTGTTTTCAAGTTTTCAGATGTCTCAACAGAAGGATGGTCATGTGCGTTAACTACCGTTACACAGTTAGGACTACTAGTTCCCGTCGGATTAAGACGGTCAGATGCCACGCTTTGGTCACACATATTATCGCGAACAGGTTCAACTTCGTGTTCCGTACTTCTTTCTAACGCTGCATGTAAGCCACTGACCCCTTCTAGAGTTGGAAGCAGGGATACTTCGTTTGAATCAATTGTTGCATCAGAGTCACTAGATACATCGAACGATGAGCTTTTTGGATTTTCATCATTGTCACAGTTATTCCAGTTATCGATTTTAGATTGTGCTTCATTTGGTTTTTGGTCGTTTTCTGATGATTTGTGTTCTTGGTTTACAGGTCCAAGATTTGGGTTAATGCTTTCTAGATCCACATAGGCGTTTGGTATATCCATTACACCATCTATGTCTGGTTCTGGTATATAGGGTTCATAGAGGTCAGCCTCGTTATACGGCGGTGGTGGTGGTGGGAAATAATCTTCGTCATCCATTATCATATCTGAAAATGCAACAAACATACGTTATGATTTTCAGAACATTTTGCGATTTTGAGGCCTCAAAGGATCGCATGTCAGAATCTTGATACAATTGAAAGCATTCTCTCGCTGACCTAGTCCTCCTTACTTATGCGATACAGAATGATAATAATAATAACCTTCTATGAATCTACGAGTCAATGTGAGGGACTGGCATTGAAATGATATAGTCGTTTGGGTGATACTATAAACCATAGTATCGTTTGTTACGACAGTTGGAAATCGAAGAAGAGTAGGTATATTTCAGTGCTCTAATGTTCGTCTTCATTAACCGAAACTTGACCAGATAAGTAGGAAGTAAAACTCGTGCTTCGTGTACAGTCAGAAACAGTCGAAACAGATTACAGAGACTTTCTAGTATTCCTTAACTGACTAACTTTGTATGGAAACAGTATCGCGTTAGCGTGACAGTATGTACATTATAGCAAGAGGATTAATAACATTGTTACTTCGCTATATAGTGCGACGCCGGAAGCCAACCTCAAAATAACATTTGCAATAATCATTATAACCATCACGTTCACAGGCACCTTTCAAGTTGGCGTACAAGGCCATAGCGTTACGAGCAAATGCCTCATGGTCAGACGACCAAACATAAGAAATGTATTTTTCTTCTCAATTATGTACGTGTATATGTGAATCCGACCATCCAATTTAACGACATAGTGGCACACACTGCTGACGCTCTTTTTCAATATGGCCGCACTTATAGAAGATCAACTCTACCGAATCTTTTATTTCGAAGGGATAAGAGGACTACCCAAAAAATACTCATGTTTAATCACTTCATCACTTCAAGACTCATTTGGATGCATCCACCTCAAATGTAACAATATAAAAAATACTCTACACAACGTCTCAACTTAACCCAGTTTGGTGTAGCCTATATTAAGTGATCTTTACAAATCATATTTAAGCATTGAAAAATACCAGTCTGTAGCCTCCAGTAATTTGACTTCACTGATGGAAGTATTAACAGACACGCGCATGTTCCTGATCATAGAAACTTATAGTAGCCGATATAGTTTGATAATTCATTAATTCATACTGTAAAGGATTTTTAAAGGCTTTCTTTCTAGGCTGCGCACGATAAAAACCAAAATAAAGGGCAAAATATCCCTCATTGCACTCTTTGTGGATTGAATACTCCATTCATTTCATTTCTATTTCTAGCCCTAGTATGTATATTGGGGACACTTTGCATCATTGAAATTGTCCAACTTTCATAAAATAGGAAAATAAACATATTATAATGACGTCGCGACTATCACAAACGCCAGACTTTTGAGTCAATCCGCCGATGGTTTCTAAACTGTTGTCGCGCAGCCCTATTGTACAACCGCATGTAAGTCGTAATCAGTCTAATAGGCTACGTTTTATTTCAAAGGCTACAACTTCGAGATGCTGGCAATATGCAATTACTGTCTACCATACGGTATGGTATATAAACACTGGAAATGAATTGCTGCACTGAATGGTATCAATCGGCTGTTGGAAGTAAGAATTAAGTAGTTTACTTAGGAACAAGAATCAGCATGAATATAAATCTAAAAGATAAAATTTATAATTCTGCTACATTAATTGAAACATGAATTCACTTGTCAATCAACGGGAAGTCACCACGGCAAATCCCAAGCGAATTTCAAGCCACAATACAATTGCTTATTCTGTAAATTTAGAGTTTTGCGTGCTATTCTTGTCATCTCCCAGGTTATTTCGGTTAATAAAGCTTCTTAGATATCTCCCCTTATATGGCTGAAAGAGGGGTGAATCGTCCTTGTGTGCCTTTAAAACAAAATGCACGAAGAAAGAATTCCTGGCCATACTAACAGCAGAAAATATCGTCAACTAATCGAAACACAGAAGGAGAAAAACCGATCTTAGCGCAATCAAACATGAAAATGCCTTTTAACCTATATTTTAGCTTGTAGAATGCTATAATTATGCGTTTGTTAGCTGCCAGGGTTCAATTGAAGCGGTATCGTACCAATTAGCGAAATTTAAATTTTATCACAACGATCTGCGAATCAAAACAAATTGTAAATTGATCATGAGCATTTTCGCCAGATTTAGTAATATCAGGAAACGCTCAACTAGACCGTTAAGTCTATATATAAATAGCTGGATCCAATTTAATTAATCTATTTTACAATTTTTATGATTATTTTTTACCCTATTGTTATATTATTTTAGACGTCATTGGTGAGATCGATCTATAGAAAAAATAGCAAAGTTTATATATGTTTTACTTAAAGAGAAGGAATTCTCTGTAATTTTATTTGACCACTGAGACTACTCATGGAAATGTTTTACAAATTCTGCTTGGATTTCAATCGGTCAGAGGCATTCTACAGATGTACAATAGCTACCTCTCAAATGTAAGAGAATACCCCCTTAACTACTGTTAGTCTATATCTCTGCATTTTCCACTTAACAGCTCTGTGACGGCGCCAGTGGGGGCTACAAAATCAATTTTATACTTAAAACCTTTAAACTTTAAACCGCGATATATGGGACAGATTAGTATCAAGTATCACCAAATCAATTCTATTTTAAAAAAAATGCAGAGAACTATCTCTAGTCTTGAGAAGTTGGTGCCGCCAAATCGCCAATGTTTAAAAGACGATGAATACCCATAGGAGAACTTAAAAATATAAACTCGTGTTCTGAAGCTTTATATTTTATATAATGTGGCTTTTCGAATACATTAAACTATACATTAAACGTTAATTCTAAATTGAAATAAATATGTTGCCAAGACTTTGCAGGAGAAAAAAGTTGGAACGGCGACAAAGCCATTTTTCAATACATCACAGAAAATAATATAATGCTTTTCGGAAATTCTCCAAGAACTTGGAATCAGTTTGTCTGACAAGCTAACCATTCTTGTGGAATCAAATCAATATTCTATTTCTAAGATTTATATTCGGTGTTATCTTTCACAAATCCTGACAAGTTGTCATTCATTTTTTTCATATCAATATCCACATAATTCCTTCACAGTCGATAGGGAATTAAAAAGTAATTTAATCACACAGCTTCTATGCTGAGTCATACAACGGCAATTACCCATTTTATATTACCACAATAACTCGTTTTGAAAATGAATGGAGGAATGTGTGTAATGTAACTGGTAACCTTTCAAGGAACTGGTCCAAATCTAACCACCGGATCAGTTCTCTGAACGATAACTCGATAAAAAGTGAGTCGAGCTAAACGAAATTAGTCAAAAAGGAGATAATGTCAATCTAAGCAAACAGTGTCAACAAAAACAAAATATTTAAAACTTTAACAATTTTATCAGACATTGCTTAAAGAGTTATAGTACAAACGAATCTTTTGCAAATGGGGCCAAGTCAAAACAGAGCCAACTTAACATACAAACGGACTCAAAATATCGACTTTGTTTAGTGTATCGGACAACCTATGAAAGATCGTCAATCGAGGGATCATTTTCAATCCATGCATTGTCAACCACACAACCACCAAAGTCAAATCAGATATTCATTATATCAGAAAACATTGTCACGTGAATTCTAATAGCAAGTAATCCGAAATCTAAAATGGAAATGGCAGTACAGGAAAACATTTTCAGTCAAAGTAAGGCAATGTCGTAAACAATATCATCAGTTTAGCAATAATACCAATGAGTAATTCAAATTTTCGAATATTTAACCACCTGTATACAAAGTCTCGTCCGATTCAGATATGTCAGAACATGGAATTTTAACATAATTTCCGAGGCAGCTGTCTTGATGATGGATTTAGTATTCAGAACAGCTGTCGACAACATGAGAAAAACTTGACTGGAACATGACTGTTCGAAAGGTTGAATGCTCAACCTGAAATTTTACCTGTCAAATTATTCAAATCAATAGAAAAAAAACCTGTACAAAATTAAAAAAGAATTTTTCGCTAAAGTGTAGTAAAATCATTAAATTTCACATGAATATTTTTAAAGTTTGAATTTTTAAAATGTTAGTTTGTTATTACAAAACTGTACTACTCATTAAACAGTCAGCACTAATTTGTGAACATCTGTACAGAAAATTATATTTCTTTTATCTTATTGCCCTATTGTTTATTCTCCAAGATTGACTGGAAATGTTTACTCCAGTACACCGAAATTCAAATTTTGCCAATTATGAAGAGACATAATTTTAGGCATGCCCTATCCACATGTCAGTCTAAGACATAAAATTGCTCATTTTTCAACCCTCTGAGAAAATCGTCTTTGAATATACTGAGCTATCACGGCTTCCCTATTACTCTGTAATTCTAATTAAAAGCACAATATGTTTACTTAATAGACATTTGATAAATAAAATTTCAATGGCAGATTACTTTAGATCGAATTTGATTGTAATTTGCGAATCAGTCTTAAATCTGAAGCAGGTCTATTTGGTGTGTTCCCCCTCGATGAAATAAATACAAATTTGACACCAGACAAATCTGACTGAAATCGATCTTGCCTAATCTGCATATTGATCCGACTCTTATAGATGTCATTTATCTTCTCATAGACTACAGTCCGTCTTTATTAAACAAAACTGATACAGATCAGGGATTGATATTTTAAAATTCCAGTCACCCAGTCCACCCACAGACACAACCGTAAGTTTGCAGACGATTAGAACACAATATTCGTGTTATTTCTTTTTGCAGATTTTGACCAACAGTATATCCAACATTTTGGTAAATACATAGGATACACCTATAGGTCATCTTCGCAATGTCAAGCTATAACGAACATCTTCTTATGCCTTGACTGCAATAGCCACTATTTTTATATCACGAAATTCAGTGATTTGATTGGATTGTACGCCAGCGAATACAGCCAATCGAAGCTCTTGACAGAAATACAATAAACATTATGGCTTTGTGTCACAGACTATATTGCAATGACTCTGAGTGTACAATCTCATCAAATCGAGTCATTTACAAACTTACTAGAGAGATGACCTTTGCAGTCATGTTATAAGACCAAGTTTGCAGTAGCTTGACAATGTAAAGATGTCCTTTGATCTGTACTCTGAAGACATACTAGTGAACTGAAACGAACGAAACAATACCAAAATCTCAAAATGACCCTGGTGAAGAAAAAGATTCTTTCGGCGTGTAGGACAGTTGCTCACCAGACAGTACCTCATCGGACACTGCTTATCTGGTTATTTGGGGCTTCTTTTCTTAAAAAAGAGTCGTCCAGAGTCCAGAGTCCAGAGTCCCTACCTTCATACATCATATATCAATATGTTAAAGGAATACCACCTCTAAAAATGGATATATATACATTTTTGGCCAATAAGAGCATATTATTTTTATCAGGGGATGTACCTGGTGTTATAACTAACAACAGAATCTCTTTATCTGACTATAAATCCATTAAGCAAATTATTGAAAAACGCTTTAAAAAAATAAGCGTTTTTCAATGATAATCTGCATTTTATGGACAATTAGGCTACTTAGTTTTATTAACTTATCGGTATATAGAGGGATTCTGTTGTATAATAAGTAAGTCCACTGATGAACAAGGACTCATTTTGACTAAGTTTAAAAATTAAAATAGTTTGTCAACGAAAGAGATAGTATACCTTTAACAACATCTGTATCATCTTCAAATATATACTATCAATACAGGTGCTATATTTGTTATTATATTATTCACTATTGATTTTTGAATAATTATATTTTCTGATTGTATGTATATTTAAGTTCAATCGTTGACCTGTATAACGTTTATTGCTGTATATTTAATCGTGTATTTTTCCATTATTGCTTTTATATTCATAGTTCAAACTGTCGAGTAAATAACGTTATCAAGCTAAAGACTGGCCAATATTCTATTTAGATTATGGTCAATTTCTTACTATTAAAGTGGCTTCTTCAGAAGGCACGAGCAGTTTTCATCTATAGGGATAATTAATCTTATATAATATGAACTACAAATTTCCGATCAAAAAGGTGTTTCGAAATGAGGATTCGGTCCAGTACTATAATGTATTAATTCCCACTAGTCACTCTTGGACTACGAGAACGAATTTCCATTTTAACATATCAACCTTAACATTCGTGAACATTGCTTTAACCCTGTGCCAGTTCCTTTTGTTGGTTAGTAACTTGTTACCTTTCAACCACCCTAATCTCTATATACTGATACTATATAATAAAGTTTTACTGACGCACTTAAATTTGTCAACAAAAGGATTGATATGCATGCAGTAAAGCCTATATAACAATCGCCAACATTGAGAACTATAGCTTATGCTTAAAGAAGCTTGGAAATAAACTGTTTTTGGACTAACACTCGAATTTAGTAAACTAATCAATAGATATCCAATGGTTTAGTTAGAACTGAGAATGGTCTTTATAATCTAATAGCTTAAAATAAAACGTCTAGATATTTATACCAAAAACCACTCTGGTCAGAAATCGCCATTAAAACTAGCAGCAGAAATAGACGTTACATTCGTATTTTGGAAAAGGTTTGCTCATCGATCGATTCCCTTTAAATCAAACTACTTACGTTTGACTGGTATCACTAGTCCTACAACTCTCTATATAATCATTATCATATAATATTCCTGTTTTTATCGTCTAGTCTCTGGCATAATTCATAAACAACACGTAACATAAACAAACCTAGTTGAACCATTCCTCTATAACATCAACACCCTGCTTAATTTAACAAATGAATCACCATCTTTAGGATATTTAGCACAGTCGACGTCTGTATAAGTATATTAATGTTATTGTATGCCTGTGTTTACTAGCAGATCTAGGTCTAATACGTCATCGATATTATGAGGCAGTAAAATACAGAACGCCTCGCATTCTTATTCTAATGAATGGAAGGAAGGAAAAAGCCAATAACCCATATCGTCGGCATCGCTAGCGAATTGTGATTACTACAGAAGTGTTGCCTAGCAACGCTAGTTAGTTTTTCTTCTTCTATCTCTCATCCGTATTGTACTATCATGGTGAAGAAGCTATACAGTTAATTGAATTTTAAACAACGTTTATTTCATAATCAAATATACAAGTATACACAGGCCTATTGCTGCATTATTACATGCGTATTGTACTGGCTTAGTGAATAAACCATAATGGTTAATTCAATTTTAAATATGAAATTTAATTTATACTCAAATACATGTATACAATTATATAATACAGAATTGCTACTGTATTGTTCCATGCGTATTGTTAGTCCGAAAATTTATTCAGCAAATTTATATAGTTTTGTGTTACATGAGGTCATTTTTGGTTTTATCATTTGAAAGAGAGGTAGAGGGTTGCGGTGGAGCTTAGGACCTTAGCTTTCATGGTTTATGAATTTATATATATTAATTACCGCAAATTACTCTCAGTACTCTTTTGCAAAATAAAAATAATTGGTAGGATTATATTAAAAATGGAGAAAAGTGTAGACAGTAGACCAAATTCAGTAGCCCGCAATCTAAAATTTTCACATAATTTGTCATGCGTGAATTCATTGGAAGCGATTAACAGAAAGTGTCAATTTCGTCAATTAGGTCAATTCTAACTTTAAAACAGCTTCAACAATGGGGTGTCAATTAATAGAAGTGCTAAAAGCTGGTGTATATGTCATAATCTCAATAAAGCGTAATTAAAATTAAATTTAAGTTACCGGTATAATCCGCTGTGACTTTCTTTAATCAATTCAGCCGTCGTCGGGCTATATTAGAAATGTCGCCCTGTAGAATTTATTTAACAATTACTTAGAAGCATGCGTGGACATATTGGACATAAACAAAAATCGCCTTCACATATACATTCTTAAGTTTAATTTCTAGAGTAATTAGAGCAAGTTTCAGTGAATTAAACCAACCGTTTAAAATCGATTTTGTCTTTGTCAGCAAGTCGGTTTTGTCCGTGACTTATACTACAAGTTGATAATCGAGATCAAAGTCGGCAAGTGCTCGTCACGTGATCAAGACGCCATAAAGAAATACCAAAACGAGGATTTGGCCTATTTAATTTTAATATCAGAGGATAACACGATGGCGGATCAACGTAAGTATAACAAATTTTGTAATAAATTGATTCTTTTACCGCAAAATTTTATGTCTTATTGGATGCATCAAAGGTGTGGCATGTAAAGAGTTGATTTACAAGATGGAAAAGCTGTTTAGATGGTTTTCCAAGTTATATTTCGTAAAACACGTTGTACGGAAATAGCATGGGTCGCCATTTTGTCTTTGTTTTCCCTAAACTAACCATTTATCGTCGGCTTAGTCTCAAAATTTGAATTTTGTTCAATTTGTCTTTTCAGAATACGGAGGTTATGGTGCCACATCGGCGGGGTAAGAATTTATTTTAAATATTTTATTGTGATCTGTATTAGTCATTACTGGCCACTTGCACATGTCGAAATTAATATACAGTAAAAAAATAGGGGGGGGGGGGAGAGGATGTTACAGTAATAATCATGGGCATGATGCCATTTCACTTTTACTTGATTTCATGACCCGTTTCAGATCTAGTTAAGCTTTTCAAGATATGGTATCTAAAGTATCAATATCACGTCTAATTTTCCTACTCAACTCCAACACAATTACTTGCTGAGTAGGCTCTGTCTGACCATTAAATGCTGTTTTTTCTTTTTTTTTTAGCCTACGACTAACTGGTAGTAGATCTACTATGGCCTAGTCATCAATTGACCACTTAAACTGATCTAAACTTGAACATGTAACATTTTTATTTACAGGTATGGTGGAGCAGATCAAGGCTATGGCCAGCAGGTAATTTAGTTTTTCTCAACAATTTAGTACCCTATTCATTCACTATATTCACTGCTTTGCTTCAAATAAATATTACAAAAGATATCTAATTTAAATATGGTATTCACATTTTGTTGAAATGGAATTATATGTTTGACAGGCCTATGGTCAACAACAACAACCACCACAACAACAACAACCACAGCAGCAACAAGGATATGGTGGATATGATCCTAATGCTTATGGACAAGGTGGTGCCACATCTGGACAACAATCTGGTTATGATCAACAAAGTTATGGTCAACAAGCACAATCTGGTAAGTCTGTATGATAAGGTCATGCATATATAAATGTTACCTTCCTAGTTATTCAAGAATGCACACATGGCTTTCCAACCCTGCATTTTATTAAATATCATCACAACAGAATAATCAACCTTTTCTTAGACTTTTTGATGTGGGTGATACTGACAATTTTCAACATCATTATGTGTACAAAAAGTATATTTGCAGTGCTTCAAATTATAGATCAGTACCATAATTATAATTATTTAGAATGTGTAACATTTCAATTTATTAAAATTTTGGGGATCATTATTCTGACTGTTTTTGGGTTTCTCATAGGTCAAGGTTATGGACAGTACAATCAGGGTGGTTATGGACAACAAAATCAATCAGGCAATTCTGGAGGGTACGGTGCACAAGGACAACAAGGGCAAGGTGGTTATGGCCAGCAAGGTAATTCTCACTCTTTTCTCATTCCCTTTGCAATTCCTAAATTATTTCTGTTTAACTATTATTTAATTATGGATCATGCATGGATTATTATTTTTTGATATTAGTTGTTACATATTTTATGAATTTGTATTTTCTTTTCTGTTTTTATGAAAGGGAGCCGCGGTGGCTCAGTGAGTTAGACGCTTGCTCGCTAACTTGAAGGTCCAGGGTTCAATCCCGGCATAGGTCGAGATAATACCTTCGGATTTTTCAACCCGGTTTCCCCCTTTCAGTGATGCAGGTAAGAGGGGCTGACATGGAAAGTGTCTAGTCATTCGGATGGGACAATAAACCGAGGCCCCGTGTGCTACAGGCTGTGCACGTTAAAGATCCCTCGACAGTTGGAAATCGAAAAGGAGCATCCTAATGCCGCTGTCCTGGCAAAATTTCCCTCATCGCACCCTGCATGGCGTTGCCCGTCTTCATTAGCCCACATGGTGCAGAAAAGTAGGAAGTAAAACTCCATTCATTTCATTTCATTTCTGTTTTTATGAAAGACTTACAAACTGATATTTAATTATATGACCAAACTGATAAAAAATTATATCAGTTCTCATGTTATTATGGGGAAACTTCCTCTGAGTTTGGTTTAGATCATGTAATACATTTTACAATGTCTATGTTAAAATCCGACATGAAAATACACAACTTTTTTCTGATTAGTGCAAACTGCTGTATTTAAAATGACATAGTATAATAAGATTTGATAGATCCATAATGTTGTAAATGAAGTCAATGGAGTACCAGGTGGTTTTCTTAATTGGGTATGATTTCCTATTTACAGGAGGTTATGGACAAGCTGGATCAGCAGGAGGTTATGGACAGCAGCAACAGCAAGCAGGTTATGGTGGTGCTGATCAATCAGGAGGTTATGGTGGAGGTAACCAAAGTGGTGGTTATGGAGGTGGTAATCAGTCTGGTGGCTATGGAGGTGGTAACCAGGGTGGTTATGGTGGTAATCAAGGTGGTAATGAATATGGCAGTGGAGGAGGTGGTTATGGAGGTACTTACGCATTTTCTTTCTTTTTCTGAGTGCATTATTAACAAATAGTTTTGATTGCCTAAAACATGGATTTCATTCTCATTTGACTAAAATTGAAAAGTAATTAAAAATTTTAGGTTCTTTGTTCTCAGAATAATTTTGGTTTAATGTATCTTGGGTTTTGTTTCAGGACGAAGTGGAGGAGGAGGCTATGGGTAAGAATCAAATTTTTATATCTTCAAACTTTCTACAAAATCATTCTTCCATAAAACCATTGAACATAGGTGAAGGGTGCGATATCTGTCCTATTTCTTGTGCCATTAAATCAAGATTGTCCATGGGTCAAAAACTTGCATCCTCCACTCTATTTTATAAGCATGATAAGATTTTGCACTACCCAATACCGTTTTTTTCATGAGTTTGAAAAATGCCAAAATATTTTAAATATTTATTTGATATCCACATGGTTCAAACAAATGTTAAGACCCTCTTATTGAATTTATTTGTCAGTAAATTTTGAACAAAATTACAAATGTGAGTTATGGAAGGATGATATTGTACTGTACTTATTTTCAGAATAGATAAGGTATGACCTCCGATATTAAATATAGCAAGCATGAGTTAATATTTAAGACTCATCATGGATTATATTATGTACTGAACAATGGGACCAATTATTAGTGTGTTTGCAGTGTTATACACTGCAGGGCCTCAGGAGAGATAACGGTCAGCAGGTGTCAATGGCCCTAAAAAAATAAAATTGTTCTGGTCTAAAATTTACACCAAATGACTAAAATAAAGTAATACCAACTGGTAACATGGCTGTATTTGAAAGATAATTCCTTTGCATATATATATTACTGAGTTTAAGTTCCCAGACAGTACCTATGCTTTTGAATATGATTTATGAGAAATATGAGACGTGATTCTCAACACAAGGTAGACCAATTCCAATTGTTTCCTTGGGTTTTATTGCCTTGACAGCCATATGTCATCTTTATAATCATGTTATTTTCTTAATGATTTATTGTGTCAACAGAAAAGGTTTTATTGTTAAAACTGCCATTGAATCAACATATACTTGAGGGTGATATATATTAAGATATTAAATTATATATGGTTTATTAAGAACAAATACATATATGGGCCTCACTGGACACAAAAAGGATGAGTAATAACTAAAACAATGCATAAAGGTATTGTGTGTAACTGGATAAAATGTTAAATAATTAAAGACATGTAACTATATGAAACCTACCTATCTATGCACAGTGTTTAGATCAAAAAGATCGATTGTCTAAGTATTTCACAGTTTATCTGTTGAGTGTGATAAGTTATATCTTGATATTAAAGAATTAAACCTTTAGAACTTTTTTAACATAGATAAATTTCAGTAATTCCAAGGCATTAGTGAGCATCAGTTAGACTTCGAGAAAAAAAAAAAAAAAATTATTTCCTGCAACATTATCAATGATTCATAAATACACAAGATTTGAAGTTATATTGAAAATTAAATTAAAAATATATTGAGACTCAAATATGGATTCTACAGATTCACTATCTTGCCTCTAACACGTCTATGAACAACTTTTTCCATTTTGTCTACATATTGAAGAACTTAAGCTGGCTATGGTCCACCATAGTGGAAAAAACAGTCATTCTTCCTAGCTTTAAAATCCATTAAATTTGAGCTCCACTACAAAGTGTCCTAAGCCAGACATGTTATACTCAGTCAATTGGAACACCTGATGCTAGTCTGTATCTGTATTCTGATCTCTACATCCCTTTTTTCTACTTAAACCTATTTGTATATTAAAATTTTTAAGTGATTTCTATTAGGTGTCAAAATTGAATTAAATCTAATGTGGTTAAATAATTAAAAAGCTATGGAAATTTTTTTTTAACTGATGATACAGGGTTAATCCCAATTCTAATAAAAAGGAGATTGAGGATGTCTCAGCCAAATAAATCTTGTTAGCTGGTTAAGTAACTGGTTATAATGGTTTGAAACATGATCAAAATAGTCTGCGCATGGTGGTTGGTAACATTTAATTGTTTGCTAGTAATCATTCTCATAGAGGAGGTTCTTGTCTCCTGGTGTTAGTGAATATGAGTATTAATTTATAGTTGTTACATTAATGGGAAAAATAACTAAAAACAGATCCTTGTCCAGTGAGATTCCCAGGGTATATTTTGGTTCAAATCCAAAATTTGGTACTAGATGAGATAATTTACAATATAAGGTTTCAAATGTGGCTCTGAGAATCAAGCTTATACTAGCTAATAGGCTATTTATTACAATGTAAATCTTATTGGATGCAAATAAATATATTGTTAGATCTTGACTTAGATCTATATTAAATATGGGTACTAACTTCCATGTTGAAGCTAATTATATTGGAAAACCATGATAATGGAATAAACTAACTAATGAGTGATGATGAAAGCCAATAAGTGATGATGGAACGTAAAGAAAACCAATGATTGATGGCAGTACCATAACCAAACTACTGACTGATGTTGGAGCCTAAACAAATCAATAACTGATGAGAATCGAAACTGAACCAATGAATGATGGCGAAACCTTAACCAAACTACTGACTGATGGTGAAACCTAAATGAACCTATGAATGATGGCGGAACCATAATCAAACTACTGACTGTTAAAGCCTTAACTGAACCAATAACACTATGATGGAGCCTAAACCAAACCAATGAATGACGGTGAAACCTTGACCGAATCAGTGCCTGATCGTGGAGCCTTAACCAATCCAATAACTGATGATGGAACCTAAACCAAACCAATTACTGATGGCAGATCTGTAACCAAACTAGTGACTGATGGTGGAGTATAAACTTATCCAATGACTGATCGAGAAACAAAACCAATTATTGATGGTAAAACCTTAAACTAAGTTAATGACTGATTGAGAACCTGATTGAACCTAAACTAAACCAGGTGATGAGGTCACCTAAATCAAATTGTCTAAAACAAACTTATGGCTGATGTCAGCTTAAACAAATCAAATGGCTTAAACCAAACTGTCAGCAAAACCCAAACAAATTTCTGATGATGAATCGAATGAATTACTGATGGAACTAAGAAATTTAAAGCTGACATATGCTAAAAATTTATGATCCCACACTGATATTTATATAGTCAGATAGCAATCTGAATATGCGTCATAGCTTGGGCCTTTTGAGGATTAATCTACTATGTACTTCATGCTATATTCTGACTATCTGTTGACCATTTATTTTTGTGTTTATTCACTTTGTTTATGAACACCAAGTATTACCATGTGTTCAACTTATGTTGGTGACAATTTGGACGTAGTACTCACTTTTTGTGATTTTGCTGATATTCAATATAGGACTTCTGTGTACCATATTGTCAATAATGATATATATGTGAATTCTAATCATAATCCTACCAAAAATTTGAAATTGTTGACTATCTTATTCAATTGACAGTAGCAGCAACCATTTGACTATAAATTATTTTCGTTTTAAAGCATGGTATTTGGTAACATTTTAATTATTATTTGTTTTGATTATTTCTCTGTCAAACTGAGGTTGGTGATTTGCTTAGATTTCTCAGAGCCACTAGGTTAAACAAAATCTAAAGGGTATAGATACACTGTGAAAAATCTTGGTTTCAAAAACACAAAATATTCTGGGGTTGGGAAGTAATGTTGGTACTCAACTGTTTATGAATGAAATATGAAGCTGAATTATTAACTGAAGTTTTTTATGATACAGAGGTGGCCGAGGTGGTGGCGGCTACAACAAGGGTTTTAGTAGTGGTAAGTCCCGGTCAGTGGTTCCTACCACCGGTTTCATTCATTTTGTATTTTGTGTTTTTGATGTTCAAATGGGGAAACTTACAAAAAGGGAAGAGCATAAAGGTTCTGTGTTCTAAGCATAAAGTGTAAAAAAAGTAAATCAAACAAAGGTGTATAATGGTATGAAATGCTTGATTCATTAATGTCTTACGAGTTATCTGTGTAAAAAAAATAAAAAAAATGCCAAGACCGTTCCGTCTCAACTTGTGTGAAGCACTAAGGAATGGAACTTAAACTAATTTCCGAGAATAAGGTTGTGCTGTTGATGGTAAAGTATATGTTAAGCTGCTGTGTGGGTGTCAGTACATGTCCCACAAAAACATCCAATTGTGTATACAAAATATGTAAAATGTTGAGGGGTTAATCTAGTGTCTGAACATTCATAATGTGTTATTGCTCTTCCCTGGGTTAATTACAAGATTATCAATACATTCAGAGTGTAATATGGTCATACATTATTCTATGCTTGTCTTTGAAGTTGTGTTGTATCTTAGTAAGGGTTTGATACTATAAATAGAAGTATAGTTGTATTATGTAGTATATCTGAGTGTACGTATCTATTACAGGTGGAGAAAGATCTGGTGGTGGAGGCGGTGGATATGGATGTAAGTACCTATTCTTTTCTGGTATAATCTTCATACATAATGGAAATAACACACAATCCAGGTTTACAGACACTTTGAATCTCATGCTCGACTTGAGACTAAAGGTCTAATATTTTAACTAAGCCTTCAATCACATCTAAAGGTTTAGAAACGGCTTGAAGGCTTTGTTGAAATATTATAGCCTCTTAAAGAAATTCAACTGAAGTCGAGTAGTGATTCAAAATGAACATGCAACCGGGTTTCCCACCGTCAGTGTTGTAGACTGGAAAAGTATTTATATTTTTTGATGGGACACAATGCCACATGAGCTAGGTGCTATAAGAGTAGCTGTTTCTCAGTATTCATTACCTGTTGTTGCCGGATTTTTATTTAATAACTTACCATTTCAAAATTTGTTTTAGCTGATCGTCAAATGGAAATCCAACAAGACACTATCTTTGTTTCTGGTGCTGGAAATGATTTAAATGAACAGATGTTAGTTCAACATTTTGGTAGCATTGGAGTTATCAAGGTAAATATTTAAGACTATAGATTTAGTCTGAAGTCTTCTGCCTTGTCTGCAGTGGTATCTTCTGGGATTTAGACAACATTTGTGTCATCTGGGATTTAGTCAGCAATCATGTCATCTGAGATTTAGTCAGCAATCGATCATGATCTGGGATTTAGTCAGCAATCATGTCATCTGGGATTTAGTCAGCAATCATGTCATCTGGGATTTAGTCAGCAATCATGTCATCTGGGATTTAGTCAGCAATCATGTCATCTGGGATTTAGTCAGCAATCATGTCATCTGGGATTTAGACAGCAATCATGTCATCTGGGATTTAGACAGCAATCATGTCATCTGGGATTTAGTCAGCAATCATGTCATCTGGGATTTAGACAGCAATCATGTCATCTGGGATTTAGACAGCAATCATGTCATCTGGGATTTAGATTTAGTATCATCTCCTCTGCAGTAGTATTATCAAATATTTCATCTGTATTTGTTATGTGCTATTTGAATAGATTGTATCCTACCTAAGTATATTATGATAAATATTTATGCATTTTAGATGGATAAGAGAACAGATTCAGCTAAAGTATGGATCTATAAAGATAAATCTACTGGTGTACCTAAAGGTGAAGCTACAGTAACATTTGATGACCCTGCTACTGCCAAAGCTGCTATTGATTGGTTTAATGGTAAGTAAAATGATATTTGAAACTGTTTTCTCCTTAAATCATGTTATCTAGATGTCTTGTTCAAGCTTATCAGGTAGCATTTTAGTGTTGTTTCACTAATCCTGTGTATAAATTTCAGGTAAAGATTTCAATGGTAATACTATTAAAGTAGAATTAGCTCAGAGACAAGTATCACAGTTTGCTAATAGAGGACGAGGACGTGGTGGGGGAGGAGGAGGAGGAGGTAGAGGACGAGGTGGTGATAGAGGTGATCGTGGTGACAGAGATAGAGATGGTAGGTTTTATCATTTCAATTATATACTGCTATTGTTCACTCTGTGAGGCTTTTTTGCAAACCAGCATTTTTAAGACCATTTGACAGCTTGAAACATGTATATTTTTGCCACCATCTTAGCAAACTTTCCCTCATTACACACTGATGCCTGTCTACAAACATCTTAAAATGAAGATGAGCTCTTATTTATGTCTGTATTTATAAGTTAAATTGAGTCCGCTTATTTGATAATTTGTGCTATTTCAGGTGGTGGTGGAGGAGGTGCTCCAAGACAAGGTGATTGGGATTGTCCTAACGAGTGAGTATTCTAGTTTTCATCCCCGTCTGGGACCTTTTTCTGAAGGTTTCTTACAGTGACAAACAAATCAAAATGATTGTATATATTAGATATATAATTACATCTTTGTCTCTCTTAAAGATTATTTTTGTCATAATTTAAAACTATACTTTTATTTTCAGATCTTGTTCAAATAGAAACTTTGGATGGAGAACAAACTGTAATAAATGTGATGAACCTAAACCAGAAGGATTAGGTGGTGGAGGACGAGGTGGTCGTGGAGGTGGACGAGGAGGTGGATTCCGTGGAGGAGATAGAGGTGGTCGCGGAGGTGGATTTAGAGGTGATAGAGATAGAGATGGTGGACGAGGAGGAAGAGGTGGCGGTGGATTCCGTGGTGGTGATCGAGGTGGACGAGGAGGTGGATTCCGAGGTGGTGATCGAGGACGGTAGGTCTTCTAAAATCTTTTTGTTCCTATCTTTGTCGTTGTCTTTGGTCATTTGAAGCAAATCTGGGTCATTTTCAGAAGGAAATTTGTATACCGTATATTTCTGCATATAATGCGCTGTTTTTTTTACCCCAAAATGGGCCCCCTTACAGAAGGGGTGCACACTATACACAGTGAAATAATTTTTGAGTTTTTTCCCTTTGAAAATACCTTCATTGCCATCGTTTCGGGAGTTATTAATAATAGACTTTAATGTATTTTGTATTAATATAATTGAAATTAATATATTTGAAATTACTAAACTGAAATAGGTATATTAATGTGTTATTTTAACGCAATAATTTCCATAAAGAGACATGTTCTACAGTGGTTACAAAATATAATTTGATCAGAGTCAATGTAATTTTTAATAGGAAGAATAACGAATGTCATGCTGTCTGAAATTGTTATCAAGTATTGCATGAATTTGAATAGCTTACCAGATATACACGGTAAATGTTTAATTCAAGCACAGTATTTGAAATGGTCTTAATGGTGGAAAGCTCCAAATTGTTTTGAAAGTAAGAGACTTATACAAAGTTAAAAATGTTTGTTCTGTTTTTGTTTTTCAGTGGTGGTGGAGACCGTGGAAGAATGGACAGAAGACAAAAGCCGTATTAAATTCATTTTAGAATTTCACTTTTTCATCCATGATTTTTATTCTTTCACATTTTATACGGTCATTTTAAAATGCATTTTGTTGTCATCATGGAAGATGAAGTGCTTGTATTGTTATCATTTTGTCGTGTCATTAAGCCTGTCAATGTATATAGTAAATTATGTGTCTTATTGTTGGTAAATAAGAATAATTATACTCTAAAATCATAAAAATAAAATCCATTCAATACAATCTTGTCAAAATGAATTTAATATGCCTACATGAATGTGGACGTATAGTGCCGTCATCCCCTCTCAAAACTTACGAAAATTTATTTGTGAGCGCAATAGACTGACTGTTTTCATCTGATTTTATTGAAATTCAGATGGACGAGTTCTAACTTGACGATTTTTTGAAGAATTTTTTTTTAGCTATTGCCCTTGAAATTTAATGTGATCAGTTTGGGGAGCACACAGTCCTCTTCCTGGGGACAAACACATAAAAAAGTCAGTTTAAATTTTATAATATAACTCTTTTTAATAGTTTATCAATATTCCTCAAAATTCTTCGCATACGGAATCCAATATGACTTCATAAAGTGATATGGAGTATTCCAAAAATTCAATATAATGCAATCTACAACACAACACATAGTAAACAGCCAAAAAATACGTTCTAAAGAAAGAACGGCAGGGACTATTTACCACGAAAACTTCAGTAAAAACATCTGCCACGCATTATGAAGTATATACGTATTCTATACTACCTGTTATGCCATTTCGAAATATCTCCATTTATATACGCCCACATGAAATGGGGGATGTATATTGCCCTAGGTTCGTCCTCAATTGCTCGTAAACCCTCTACAAAACACAATTCTTGACGATTTTGACAAAACTTGGTGTGAGTGTTCGTAATCACCCAAGGATGAACCCCATTGAAAATCAGAAGAATCGAATTATTGCCCTTGTTTTTGAAAACTAAATATTTTTTTGATTCCTCTGATTTCAATTGGATTCATCTTTGGGTGAACCCTCACACCAAGTTTCATCAAAATCCATCGAGAATAATCAATATTATTCAGTATCGCCCCAAATGTTTCAAAAGAATTGTATGACTGATGGTCGAATATTTCATACTGGGAATTGCTACTGTACTGCCAAATATTTTTATTCAAAATCAAAGCTGCCAGTGGGCATATAATACCTTGCCTGGCAAGCTATCTTTAAATAAGGTAACGCACTGAAAATTGGAAATATATATGAACAGATATATCTGTGTAGAAATTCATTCGAATAGGTAACATTAGTCGCGTTCACACTAGCGTTTTACAGCGCAGTGCCCCCGTAAAAATAGATTGCCGGTCCCACAGAACACAACCGTTGACAGGACGCTGCATCGCAAGCCGTGATCTGTTAATCAGGCCTTCAAAGACTCGATTTTTGTCGGATTTTGTCACCCAAAAAGTGTATGAGTAAGGTTGAATATTCCACCTGCAATTGTTACCGTACTGCCAAATATTATCCGATCTTAGTAAAACTTGGTATACACATATTGATGAGATCTCGGTCACCTTGCAATTTGGAAATAATCAGATGAACGGTTTCGGAGTTATTTCCCTTGACTTAGTAAAAACGCGTTAAATTTGGCTTGCAGACACGATAGAGATGACAGTTTTTATACGCCCACATGAATATGTGGTCGTATATTGTCGTCGCCCCTGTCCGTCGGTCCGTCCGTTAACATTTTTTGTGAGCACTATAAAGACTACAGTTTTTATCTGATTTTGATAAAACTTGGTGTGATGCTTCAGATTGATAAGATCTCGGTCAAGTTCGAATTTGACATATTTTCGATGCACGGTTTTTGAGATATTGCCCTTGACTTAGAACGCCTTGAAATTTGTTAAAAATTGTTCGTGATCAGGATTGAAGCTACAGTTTTCATCCGACTCTGAAGAAACTTGGTGTGATCTTTGGAATTGATAAGATCTCGGACAAGTTCTAACTTGACGCATTTTCGATGAACGGTTTTTGACTTATTGCCCTTGACTTTGTTAAAACGTGTTGATATTTGTCAAAAATAGTTTGTGAGCAGGATTAACGCTACAGTTTTCAACCGATTCTGATGAAACTTGGTGTGATCATTGGAATTGATAAGATCTCGGACAAGTTCTAACGTGATGCATTTTTGATGAACTGTTTTCGAGTTATTGCCCTTGACTTTGTAAAGACGCGTCAAAATTTGTTCGTGAGCACTATAGAAGCTACAGTTTTCAACCGATTCTGATGAAACTTGGTGTGATCATTGAAATTGATAAGATCTCGGACAAGTTCTAACTTGACGCATTTTCGATGAAATGTTTTTGAGTTAATGCCATTAACTTACGAAAAACGCGTCAAATTTTGTTTGTGAGCACAATAGAAGCTACAGTTTTCAACCGATTCTGATGAAACTTGGTGTGATCATTGGAATGGATACGATCTCGGACAGGTTCTAACAAGAGATATTTTTGATGAACATTTTTTGAGTTATTGCCCTTGACTTTGTAAACACGCGTCAAAAGTTGTTTTTTGCTCTTGATTAGAGCTGTGTGATTTAATTGTTTGTTGTACTTGGGTTATTGATATTGATTTTAAAAAATTTTTGGAATTATTCAGCATAAATAATTTCTTCAATATGAGATCTCCCCTTTTGGTTTAGACTCGGGGTTATATTTATTGTTTAGTATTCAGTGTTAGTTAGTTAGGTTATTTGATGTAAATAAAGTGTTTGTTAATATTGTAAGCGTTAGTATTAATTGAAGGAAAGTGTCCGTATCCAGTCTCTTACAAACGACTATACAGTTTGTAAGAATAATCTACTTTGCAGTTTGCAAGTAGAACCCAACAAACAAGTATGCCAATAAGCAGCTTGTTTACATAAAGATGGGTTCCCTTATTTTCATTTATGAAAATGAAAATGCTAATACTTAGATGAATAGAAAGTAGAGGTGTTCTAATGACTTGGAAAAATACCAGTTTGTCTCACATGTTCATAATTAATTGATATTTAGCTAAATTAGAAGAGAATTACCAACAGAATTCGGATGGGTGACTGATCAAGAAAGGTCAAAAGTCTTTTTTGTTTATCCAGACTGTACAAACATGAACATTTATGATTGATTAAAACTTATGTTATCATATGCAATAAGAACATACTGATATGATTAAGAATAAATGATAATTCATTAGGAACACCAATTAATCAAATAGTTTGTTTAATTTTACACTAAAAACAAGGAAACCTATCTTTAAAGATATCAAGGAAAATTTGGACTACAAGAATTGAATCACATGAATTTTCGTATCATAAGTGGGAGCCGCGATGGCTCAGTGAGTTCGACGCTTGCTCACTAACGTCAAGGTCCAGGGTTCAATAAAGGCATAGGTCGGGATAATACCTTCGGATTTTTCAACCC